GGCTACTTGTGATTCTTACAATGAGTGGTTATCCTGGAAAGAAGCTCACGAGAGTCAACTCAACAAAATCTCCAACGAACACTCAAACCTCCGTTTCAAACGCGAAGATGAACAGGAACATGGTAACTTGGAATCAGAGATCGATGATTTCAAGACAGAGTGTGAGAAGGGAAATGAGGACAAGGCTACTTGTGATTCTTACAATGAGTGGTTATCCTGGAAAGAAGCTCACGAGAGTCAACTCAACAAAATCTACAACGAACACTCAAACGTCCGTTTCAAACGCGAAGCTGAACAGGAACATGGTAACCTGGAATCAGAGATCGATGATTTCAAGACAGAATGTGAGAAGGGAAATGAGGACAAGGCTACTTGTGATTCTTACAATGAGTGGTTATCCTGGAAAGAAGCTCACGAGAGTCAACTCAACAAAATCTCCAACGAACACTCAAACGTCCGTTTCAAACGCGAAGCTGAACAGGAACATGGTAACTTGGAATCAGAGATCGATGATTTCAAGACAGAGTGTGAGAAGGGAAATGAGGACAAGGCTACTTGTGATTCTTACAATGAGTGGTTATCCTGGAAAGAAGCTCACGAGAGTCAACTCAACAAAATCTCCAAGGAACACTCAACCGTCCGTTTCAAACGCGAAGCTGAACAGGAACATGGTAACTTGGAATCAGAGATCGATGATTTCAAGACAGAGTGTGAGAAGGGAAATGAGGACAAGGCTACTTGTGATTCTTACAATGAGTGGTTATCCTGGAAAGAAGCTCACGAGAGTCAACTCAACAAAATCTCCAACGAACACTCAAACGTCCGTTTCAAACGCGAAGCTGAACAGGAACATGGTAACCTGGAATCAGAGATCGATGATTTCAAGACAGAGTGTGAGAAGGGAAACGAGGACAAGGCTACTTGTGATTCTTACAATGAGTGGTTATCCTGGAAAGAAGCTCACGAGAGTCAACTCAACAAAATCTCCAACGAACACTCAAACGTCCGTTTCAAACGCGAAGCTGAACAGGAACATGGTAACTTGGAATCAGAGATCGATGATTTCAAGACAGAGTGTGAGAAGGGAAATGAGGACAAGGCTACTTGTGATTCTTACAATGAGTGGTTATCCTGGAAAGAAGCTCACGAGAGTCAACTCAACAAAATCTACAACGAACACTCAAACGTCCGTTTCAAACGCGAACCTGAACAGGAACATGGTAACTTGGAATCAGAGATCGATGATTTCAAGACAGAGTGTGAGAAGGGAAATGAGGACAAGGCTACTTGTGATTCTTACAATGAGTGGTTATCCTGGAAAGAAGCTCACGAGAGTCAACTCAACAAAATCCCCAACGAACACTCAAACGTCCGTTTCAAACGCGAACCTGAACAGGAACATGGTAACTTGGAATCAGAGATCGATGATTTCAAGACAGAGTGTGAGAAGGGAAATGAGGACAAGGCTACTTGTGATTCTTACAATGAGTGGTTATCTTGGAAAGAAGCTCACGAGAGTCAACTCAACAAAATCTCCAACGAACACCCAACCGTCCGTTTCAAACGCGAAGCTGAACAGGAACATGGTAACTTGGAATCAGAGATCGATGATTTCAAGACAGAGTGTGAGAAGGGAAATGAGGACAAGGCTTCTTGTGATTCTTACAATGAGTGGTTATCCTGGAAAGAAGCTCACGAGAGTCAACTCAACAAAATCTCCAACGAACACTCAAACCTCCGTTCCAAACGTGAAGTTGAAAAAGAACCTGGAATGAAGAAAGTAGATTATGAATCCAGTCTTGAGATTTCAGATTTCAAAAAGGCTTGCGAAGAAGGGACAGAAGACAAAGATACCTGTGATTCCTTCTACAATCTAATGAAAGAGAAAGAAGAGGAAAAGAGGGTACTTCGTCGCAAACGGGATGCAAAGAAATTGATAGAAACAGATAAGAATGAAGAAGAATATAAATCACATCTTGAGATCTCAGATTTCGAAAAGGCTTGCAAAGAAGGGAAAGAAGACAAAGAAACATGTGACTCGTTTCACGATCTAATGAAAGTGAAAGACGAAGAAATAAACGTGATACGTCGCAAACGTAATATAAAAAACACTGAGGAGAGTAGCATCTCGAACTTTAAAAAAGATTGTGACGATGGAAAAGAGGATCAGGAAACCTGTGATTCTTACTTCAAGTGGATAGAATGGAAAGAAAACCATGATTTATTTTTAAAAAGGAACAACGAGAATGAGTCTGATGATCATTTAAATAACAGAGTAGGCAAAGCAGCAGGAAAAGACAAACAATTTCTCGTTTCTCATGAAAATGATTATCGAATTGGAAATTCAGAAAAAAGTGATCAAGACGACAGTGAGTTGAGGAAATTAGATGCAAAGATCAGAGCTGACCTCGAGGAAGATGATGCTTATTTTGCAAAGATTTCAAAAGGACGCTCGTCTGAAAGTTATTCCCCTGCCGATAGATCAAGCACGTTTCAAAAAAACTCCAGTGGACTGAAACGTAGAACTACACCCATTCTTGATAGATTTGAAGCTGAGTTTGATGAGGCAAATGACGGAAATGGGCTCAACAACATGGGAGCAACAAATTACGTTGTTGAAACGATAAGTGGAGGCAACAAACCAGTTGTACTTCCAAGAAAGGATGCAGAAAGGATTATGGTCGTCCCAAAGCCGACTCCTAAAAGACAACGGAGGACTGTCGCTGAAGTGCTTTATAGAGTCTTGTCACAGAAAAAAGCCTCTCAGAAACGTAGATCATTTTAAAGAAACGGACATTAGCACACTTAATCCAAAGACAATAACGGGCATTTACACTTGGGGAATATTATAGTAGTTATTTGTTTCAATATGTAACACTGTTTGTTGAATGTATTTATTCCTTAAGTGTCATCTTCTCAAGATTATGACCTTTGGAGTCAAGGACTCCCTGAGCATATTACAATGGTTCCGTCTAAGTCTCAATGTATCCTTCCTTGAAAGACCCATTCAATTCTTTGAATAGGTTGTTGTTGTTCATGTCCGAAATTCCACAACATTATCTCCAATTAGCTTTCTGCTTGGGAAAGTAGGGGTCTCTAAATGAAAGTATAGGCATGACAAGCCTCCTACTCATCTGTGAAACTGGGCGTGGTCAATGTGTCCAAGAAATCCTGTGCCCTCCAACCCAGAAACGCAATGATAGCTTAGCATACTCATGCACATCTGTATAAAATCCAATAAGAAAACGTGATTATAGTGCAATGTCAACTTGACAGAACAACTTTAATTTCGAGAAAGCTATTACTTCCCTGTAATTGTGAATATCGCAAGTCCTAAGATAAGCCCCATCTTCTAATGAGCCCCTCCCTCCTCTAATGAGCCCCCAACCTAAAAGAATTTTTGTGAAATAAACCCTCATGGGCTGAGGTGCTGCCACAACTGCAATAACCAAGATAAAAACTCGCCTTTAGAAGGAAAAAGAGGATAAAAGTAAAAGTAAATAAATGAACATTACCAGGGGAGTATTTTATTGCATCGTGTTGTTCTGGACCATGTTGGAATGACGTTTTGTCTTCAGATGTATCTGAATCAATGAAAAGCCACCTGCAAAAGAGGGACTGATAAAAACCCCTCAGTACTCATCTTCGACTTTCATTCTCAACCTTATTTTAAAGCTAACGGTTTTCAAAAGAAGGGCAACAGAAGGACCAGCAAAATACGTTGCTGATTCTAAACCAATCTGTAACTATCGCAAATTTGTCCGCCCCTTCTAGGCAGGGATGTGAAGTGGGGGGGGGGGGGGGGGGGGGCTCAGCTCTCCTTGTAAAAATTGCTTGTGCAGAAGTTCGAAAAACATTAAGAGATCATAAATCTCAGTCTTCTGCCGACATGTGAAGAAAAACACGTTTAGATGATCCGGTTGTTCTTTCATAGTGTCATTTATCAGTTAGTAATTGATAGCGCTGGATAGTTTCTTCGGACGACAATTAAAAAAATTTGTCTCAACAAAAGATGTATTAAGCTTTTTAGACGTCTATTTAGAAGGATAAAAATTTTAAGATCACGCAATTTTCTCGTGAAAACGAGGCTTTCGGCCCCCCTTAACAGACTCTATCTGTTCTATCTATGTTTTCTCATTGATTACTTTCATATTCGCAAAAACCAGACTTCAAACATGGAAAAAAGGCTGGTGGCCCCACGAAAACCACCGTATAAGTTCGATTTTCGAAATCAGTACCCTCGAATTGACCAAAAGCACTTGGTCCCATATAAATTTTGCCCTCGAGTGACCATTCCACATTCTCCGCCTGGTTCAAGAGGCCTGCCGCTGCGCTGCTCCATAGTGTACCAAGGAGAAAATAAAAGTGGAGAGAATAAAACCAACGATTGAGGAGAAAATCTGAAGTAGAGAACAGTTGAAATCTTGCTGCAAAACTGTTCGTTTACAGAAAAAGGGGAGAAAAATAACTGCCGTGACCCGGGATCGAACCAGGGACCTTCAGATCTTCAGTCTGACGCTCTCCCAACTGAGCTATCCCGGCTGTCTATAACAAAGTCATTTTTATGTAGTATACTGAATTTGAATCCAAGAGCCAGTCCAAGAGCCATTCCTTTCCTGCAAGTGACATCCTTTTCGAGAAGATTCAGTTTCCAAGCGAAGAGGTTTTGCCAATCCAAAGCAGACCTTTTGCAAGCAAATGATGGCTTGTCCATTTCGTTGGAAAATGGGACGTGGATAGCCCCGAGCTTGTTTGCTAGGATGGCCCTGCCAATGTCATCCCAACTATATATAGAGACGTTTTTAACGAACCAACTTTATTTTTAAGTAATAAAAACCACCTAAAGGTAATTGGCGTTTATTTATCCTAAAAAAAAGAATCCAAGAGCCGGGAATTCTTGAAGATTATGATCAATAAATATGTTAATAATTAATTTTTGCTTTGATATTAGGTAAAGATCCAAGTCACATGTAGAAAGAGAAAAAAGACGTATTACAAACCTTCCAGATTTCATTCCAACGGCCAAGACTGGTGCAAATGGATGAAACGCGGCAGACTGTGCAGGCTCCTATAACGAGCGACGATAACTTCTAATTTCATCCAATTTTAGGTTTTCTTACGTTGTCAGGTGAAAGGTTTCTAACATTTGTTATGAAGAGGCATATTTCCGTATAAGGGATTTTTTCAAGGTAAGTGCTTGGGCTGATCAGATCGGATTCGATTTTCGCACTGGCAAAAAGCCACCGTTACGAAAGAAGCTGCTTGAGAAAGTTGCTTGTCCAAAAATTTCAAAAGAGATAAAAAAACAAAAAAGGAATTTCCAAGTGTGTGAAGGGCGTGGCCTAGAAAATTTGATTTTGTCAACCTCAAAATTGAATTGGGGGAGGTGTGAAGCTATTTTTCAAAGAAAAGAGGAAATATCACCTTTCCTTGAAAAGTCATAACTATTTTATCTGGGATTTTAGTGCCAGATCAATGCCAAGAATGGCTGATACTGCCGCATAAAAAGGTGTCTGATTGGGCCTGTTCAGCTTCAGAAAAATTTTAACCTGAGCCTATTCCAGGAAAAGTCAACAGGGTCCTACAGTTTCTATGAGGTAATTATGCACCAAATTGATACAAGTTTCAAGGGCAGGTAATATGATTAATCTTTTGTTTATCTAAAGGATCTAACCTTGAGTTGCTTCGACCATATAACATCGTGCCCATCGGCATCCCACAGAAAAACAAGTTCATCTGTCCCACAGGTTACGAACATTTCTTTCGTTGGATGAGTAGCAAGACCCCAAAGTTCATCAACATGACCCTGTTGGTAAATGAAACGACATGAAATAGCAAAGAAGCAAAATGGTGGAACAGAATAGATTAAACAGGTATGATATTTAGATTAACATAGTCACCTGTATAACAAATCCGAGTCCGGAAGATATTGTTCCATCAAGAATGCAGTTCTTCGTCGTGCCAACAATGATTTCTAATGCGTCGTCATCTGACATTGGTCCTTCAGTTATTGCTCTTACTTGCCCAGCATTTTCTGGAATCTTGAAATTAAGATATTTGCTCCTTTAAAAACTTTTGAAATATGGTCTTTATATATATTCAATACTTACATATCGATTTAATTACATCGCTGGTCTTTTATTAGTCCTTGAGATGATAACTTTTTATAAGAAAAATAAAGGTTGAAATACGAATAAACAATATGAAGTAATTTTCCTCTAAACTTTGAACATTTAAACACTTTATTGAGAGTGTGAAAGGAGTCCTGCAGCTTAAAAGTCAAAACAATCAAAATTTCTTACATCAATCTCTCGACCAGTCTTTTTGTAACACTGATCCCACTCGAGAATTCTCTTGTCCTTTCCTCCTCCGGTTAGAATTTTTCCATCACTCATACAACAGATAGAGAATATTCCACCCTAAAATGCACAAGAACGTTATAGAAAAACACAGCTGTATTGTATTGTATTGTGTTGTATTGTATTGTATTGTATTGTATTGTATTCATTGTATTGTATTGTATTGTATTATATTGTATTGCATTGAACATTATTTAATGTTAGTTTTTACAATAGTGAATATACACTGATTAAGACTAACATCAAGCAATTTCAAGGATTGCATAAGACAGTTCATTTACTGCAAAACTAGCATGCGCCCTTGTTTTCAAGGAACAAAGTTTTGATCAAATTCTTAAATTGTCTAGTATTTTGTGCTGTCTTTATTGATTCCGGGAGTGAATTCCAGATTTTAGGCCTTTGAAAACTAATGATCTTATACCATTATTGGTAGTTCTGGCTTTTGGAATGTCAAGGGGGTTTTTGAGTCGAAGGTTATGACCTGTTGTTTTGGGTACAAAATAGTCTTTCATGAAAACAGGATTAAGGTTGTTCACTGTTTTATAAACTTTGAGCGCTAAAATTCTAAATGATAGACATGTAGGGTATTTTTTTTTGAGTTAGCAAGTAAATTTTTGTACGAAGATGAAAAGTCCGAATAGGCTAGTCTTAATGCCTTGCGTTAATTTTCACTAGCTTATCCTGACTGCCTTTACCACATAGTATCCATATCAATGGACAATAATTGAAGTGACATAGTATAAATGAATTCATAATTATCTTTTTTTCTCTGTCGCCAATAAATCTTGCCAATCTTTTTAAAGAATTTACCTGCTTAGCTGCTTTTTTACAGATCTTATCGATATTAGCATCCAACTTTAAATTTTAATCGATCTGAACACCAAGCAAAGTAACGTTTTTGTCTATTTTAATCGCAAATTCTTGGTCATTTTCAAACTCATTTATGCATTTATCTTTGCTGCCGATTGTGATAGCTTGAAATTTAGGGGGATTTAGAGGGTTTGTGTAACTAAGTTTCTTAAAAGTTTAGTTTTGAAAGGCGCCTATGAATGGGAAATTGCAGCAAAGAGGTAAAGTTTCTTAGAACTTCTATGAACTATAGACAGAAAATACATTACTTGTTTGAAGAACAACATTAGTAAAATTTAGCTGAACTTACAGAATGGGCCTCTTTCACAGCTTTTGATATTCTGTTTGATCCTACAAAAATATATCATATCGTTGAAATTTGCATATTAGTGTAGAATCTTTTTGACAATCTAATGAGAATACAACAAGGGTTTGATCCATTCATTAAAGAACGTAAAGCAAAAAAGACTATGAAAGAAAATATTTTAGTTCAAACGATGGCGACTCTTTTAACCACATTTCTCAAGGTGGGCAATGTAGCAAGAGAAGGTAAATCATATATTTTCTACGCAGGTGCAGTGTATGGCAACCTAAAAACACAAGGAAAAGGAAAAAAATTGACATAGCAACTCTTTCTCGTTTATTAACCACTGAAATATTTTTCCAAAAAAACAGCTTAACCAAATAATTAGTGTTTCAATTCTCTTGATGGCTCATCTTGGACTAAAGTTGGTCAAAAAAGGCCAGCAGCCTTGCCATCTTTTACAAAAAACAAACGTTCTCGCGTCAAGAAGAATTCTAAAAGATATCATGATTCTTGTAAAACAGAAAGTCAGTTTTATAACCAGTTAAGAAGCTTAACTACAGTTGCAGGCGTACCTTGCCCCCATACGAAAACATTTCCGTTTGAGTCACCACTTAACAAGTCTCCGCTCTCTGTGAAAGCAGCACACAGGACAAATTTCGGTTTTCCGTATTTCTAAAAAAAAGAAAAGATATAGTCACAAGAAACAGAAAGAAATATGTTATAAAATCAACATGTACTTGTTTCTGTTATAGTGGTTTTATCCGAAGAAGATTGAAGGACTAGAGAGCTTTCTTCAAAACAAAATATATCCGGGCTAAATGAAACATGCACCTGGAGCCTAAAGCAATGCAATTTCCTTGGACTGAATAGAAGAGGCTCACGTTGTCGGAAATTTTGAGGGAGAGGCAGCTAATTTGATAAGAGAGCTAGAGGTCCAGCAACATAAAAGAATGAAAATAATTTTGCACACAATCACTTGTATTTTTAATGAACGTGACTAAAAATTTTGTACGCTTTAAAAAGGTGTCTTGCTTAATGATCTCTTTCTATTAAAATCAAGGGTATTAACTATATTACAAAGCCTGAAGAGTTCATCAAGTTTTAGTAGTAGCAAATTGTCAAATCACCTCAAAAATGCCCATCTTCTTAGTCAGCTTCATATCATCAGTAACTGTCCAAAATGCAATGTGAGACCGACCATAAGAGACAATCGTGCTGTTGTTGCTTGGATGAAACACAACCCCAAGAACAGCTTCATTGGATCCCTAGAAAATTCATAACATTAAAAATGTATGGGAAAACAAGAATCAGGCCAACTGGATATGACAAATTTATCAACGTATGTGTATGAAAACCACTGTAGTTTGCTGCAATAACCATAAAGATTGCATCCACTCGAAAGTTCCTCTTTTATAAAAAGGTCATGACGTAATCACATACTTATTAACACATGAAGTATCAATCACAGACAATACTGACAACTTTTGAGAAAAAAGGTTTTTAAACATTCGAATTCTATAGCATTTGATATTTTTTCTGGACACAAGAGACAGAACTTTACAAAGAAAGCATAGATAATTGATAATGGACCAAAGAAGAATCGGCTTTGGCAGAGACACGTCCTGTTCGAACCCTACAATGAAGCATGTAGCAAGTATCTGATACCTTGTTATCAGAGAAACGAGAATTCTTTGCCCAATCCCAGAGAGACATAATGTGTTCATTAGCTTCATCAACTGCTGCAAGGAGTTTTCCACCGTCCTGAAAGAGAGGATGTCACACTATTGGTCGAATTTAATAGGTAAGTTCGTTAGAATTGCTTTAGCTTAAACATTGTAACTGAAATCTTTGAACATTAAAGTCCGAGTAACGCTTAGTTTTGCAACATGTATAATGTCAGACTCGCTTAAAACTATGGCTTGGTTGAAAAATTGAAAACTTTGATGACACAGTAAGTACATTAAATATAAGAAAGGCCTAATTTTGCAACAGAAAGATTATACTATTTCAGTGCCGGGACTAAATGAGTTTAAAAGTTTTATGACATAGCAGATAAGGAAAGCTTTGTTTTGCAAAGGTTAGGATATCATACTCCTATATATATGAGGTAGTTATCAATTTCTCCAGGTATTTCTAATTACTCAGAGGCATGTATAGTGCTGATACAGAGACATGTCTCAGTTAAATTCCTTTCGCTTACAGTTGAAGAAGAATATATACGCTAAAACAGTGCAACTAAGTTGTGTAGAAAGATACTGTTGTCCTTGAAGACAACTGAAATCTTCATTGACAAAATATCTTGATAAATCTATTATTGATTGGTGTGAAATGGCGAAAAATAAATAAATACAAATTTAACTGAACCTTGATGGAAAACGTCAAGCAGCTCAGTGCTCGCTCGAAATAACCCATGCCAATTACTTGAAGGGTCTCCAAAGTATTCGAATCCCATATTCGGACGTGAGGCTGCAAAAAAGTGTGCTTCTTGTTAAAACTAAATTTCAAGAATCCCAACAGTGTATGAAAGAACATCAATTACTTAATCATTTGTTCGGGTTCCTTTACTTGAAAATCTATGAAATGTGACATTTAATGAAAATAAGCTTAAAGATATCTAAATAAAAGATTTTCAGTAATTAAAGCAGCGATAAACAAGTTCAGTATTATGAGTCGAAATCCAATGCACATATAATTTGGCAAGAAGCATATATAATAACTCATAGCGACCTTTCCATCCTCTTTGCTGTGTCCAGCAACCTGTCCGCTGGCAATGATTACTTTGTCAGGGTGTAAAGCAATACTGAAATGCAATGAAGCAGTATCTTAGTATGCGCAAATCACTCAAACTAACGATGGAAACTATGAAGTGCAAATTAATTCCTATACAACAGTATTCAGCCAGGTTTTTTCTTCTTGGTAATTGAATCTTCAGGGATAGTGTGACGTAAAGAAGCTGTGTGACTCGACGATCCTCAGGGGTAGTGGAGCATCTCTTGAAATGAACTGAGAGATATTCGGGCTGCAGCTGTTGAGCTCTTGGGTATATATTTCGCAAAAAAACAGCCTCCCAAAATATAGGAAAAATGATTCATATGGCCTAGTAGTAGCCTAAGATAGATTATCTTGTTCTTCCTAGATGTTCTTAAAAACAGCTACAATGATGTTGTATCGATTGGAGAAATTGCCAGAACAGAGACTGTGTTATATCCATCAAAAAATCTTAGTATATAGTGCATTCGAGGAAAGCTGGTAGCTTAGAAAGTAGCTTAGATCTTTCTAATATTCCGAAACTGAAAGTCGCCTTCATTACTAAAAGGCAGTTAATTTCACTAAATAATGTTAGTTGGCTTTATATCTGATTGGCAGTTATTAGTTTCTTACCACTTAACATCATCGGTATGACCTAGATAATGTCTTTGCTCTCCGGTTGATCGATCCAACAAAATAATTACAGCTGCGATGTGATAGACTATTTCACCACTGGGGAGGACAAAGAGGTTGTTGCGACAGTCGCGTCCTCTGTATCCATATCTGTTCAAAGTTAAAGAATAAAAAGCGATGTGCTAATACGAAACGTGGCAACCTCCTTTTGTTTTGCCAAACATTATGGTTTCATGAGAATTGTTGCAAGGGTCCCTTTTTTAATAGCACTGCATCCCTACCCATAGTTGCAATGATTCCTGGGAAAATTTAGAACAGCACAAGGACATGTGATAGAGAGCCTGCTAAGCATAACCACAGTTACTTTGCTTCTGAAAAGATAAAACGTTTTTTGAGGACACTGAAATCAGGCATCGAGGAGCGTTGAGAAAAATGAGGGGTCTAAAAAAGTAGGCTGGGGGATAAAACCGTATAAAAGAAGCTTTACTGGTAGTTTATTACTTGATATTTGGCATCTTTTTTAAAAAGTGGGGGCTAACGCTAAAGGCTAAAGCCCCCCAGCCCCTTAGCCCCCCAGCCCCCTGCTCTGCGGTGCCTGGAAATACATATATTGGTCATGATGTAGTCTACCCCTAGCATGCCTATCAAAAAGTAAACATTTACTTCTGTTACAGAAAATGAGAACAGTAGCAATATGAAAGGATACACCCATTCCAACTTCATTTCAGCAGTAGGCGCTTGCCCATTCCTCTTTGTTTCAACAAAATTTGATGGAGGGTAAGTACTAACGGCTCTTCCACGTATGTAGAATTTCACGATCTCGTCTAAAATCGAATGGAAATCGTAGTTAGGAAAACAATTTAAGAAATCCTGCTACTGTCCATCATTGTTTAGATTTTTATTCTGTCGAATGAGGATTGGTCGGGAGGGGCAGAAAAGAGAGTATATTCATGTATTGCTGGCCCAAAGCAAAGAAATCAAAATTCAATATTAAATGAAGCTTCTTGTAACCGATCTATGATTTACTTTAAAAAATTTAAATGGTAAGTTGCTTGAAGAAGGAAAAATTTCTGATAACATTTAATAAGAAAAATGATTTTATTGACTTTATAACGGCATAGAACTTCACAAACCTTTTGGAGAACTATCACCACCATTGGAAAGGGCACTATGAATAAATGTAAACTTGAGATGATGAATTGGAGATATTATTATAAGTAATCATAGACTTATAATGAACCATAGATTTGACTTGTGTATCATTGGAAATGCCAAAATAAGTTTATAAAACAAAGTGATTCAATATTAGAAAAGCATATAACGTTTTCACGTTGGTACTGGACGCCACCATTTTAACGGTATATGGATACCTAAAGCATAAAATATTGCAGAAGAAAATATGGTAGAGCCGACAGATTGAAGATCTGTAGAGAACATACCTAAGTGAGCCAGTTCTTCTAAGGCTTTCATGCTTCTTCCTAAAAGGTTGTCAAACGTAGATACTTTATGGCTACATTTCTAAACATTATGTGGGTCGATACTATCCTGAGCTGTAATATATAACAAAACGTAGAGCAAGAATATTCATAGGGATTTGCAATGGACATCAGTCCGGTAAAAACAACAAAAGGAGTCGAAAAAGGCAGCACACCTTATAGCTTCAAGTACTTTAAAAACTAGACATCACATATATTGCAGCTGAGCCAAGACAGGAAAGTCAATGAAATCCAAAATTATCAAATGCATAAATAAAGTGGACACGTGGATCTAGCTGTAGTCTAGATGCACCCTCAAAACATTGGAGAATATGCTTTGAAATATTAAACCAGCGTTCATTAACATCTAAAGGAAAGTAGAGCTAAAAGCATACGAGATACTTCTTCTTCGTTCGTTTAAACCAGAAATGGCTGGACCTTGGGAACTATGCGCTGGCGTTGGGGTCGATCTTCGGGGAGAATCTGTGGCTCTGCGGACGAGAGGTTTCTTAACATGGACTGGTTTCTCTTGCTGGTATGCCTGCAAATAAAAAAAACTCAGAAATATAGCTTGGAGGTCTTTATATTATTAAATACATCAAAGGTAAATACTGCATTAAAAACTTCTGTAGTCCTTTGTGGTTTAAAAACTACGGTATTCAAGTGAAATACGGCACGTTATTTTGTGGGGAAACTCTATACAAAGCAGTAAATCTGAGAAGAAGAAGGCGCGGTTAGACACTTTTAATCGTTATTAAAACTAATCATAAGAAAAGGATACGATGAAACAATTATTTACATAACTTTTTATCTAATTTTGGCTTTCATTGAAGTAGCTGCAAATCCAAGGAGGAGAGAGGTGCCAACACTTTGAAGGGTAGATAAAAAAGATGAAGTGTCCTCTTTTAGAGGACGTAGACCATTAAATGTTGAGGAATTTTCTAATATGGCTTCAAATAACAGCAATGTTACTACTACAGCAACATTCAGACTGCCAACAACGTTAAAAAAGAAAGAAAAGCCGTTATTAGATTCAAACCTCCTTTTCTTCATCAAAAGAGTTTTTTCGCCCTTTCATTGGGTTTTTCGGCTGTGATGGCAGAATAGCAGCGGCAGGCAAAGGCGAGTGTGGCGTTGGTTTGGCTGCAAAAAAAGTTAACAAAGGTTTACTTTCAAAATACACAGTGGTAAATGTATTCTTTTCTATAAGAACCAGATACTTTTTACCGAGGCCCGGTAAAAATTTGCGGTTCGGTCATATTTAATGCTTTCTTATTTCAAACACAATTCCATTATATTTACACACTTCAAATTGTTCTAAGACCACTAAATAAGAGTGTGTATGAAATTTTTAGTAGCACGCTTGATTACCTGATACAATCTTCTTGTTTGTTAACATGAGAGAGAAATTCCAAAAAATGTATTTTTTCAAATTTTCTTGTGTTCATTTATATCGTCGTGTTCTTGCGTTGCTATTTATTGGCAAATCCAGCCTCGGTGTTCTTATAAAGTCTGTTCTTTGTAAAATAGATTGTCAAGCTAGAGTAATATTGTCAAACAATCTTCTTACACTGTAGTGCAAAACTTTAAGCTAGCTGCTAGCCGATTTTATGCTAATAATTCTCTGCAATGACGTTTCAAGTGAGCGATTCATAAATAGCAAAGAACTTAAATCAAGACTTTTTTATCTCTGGTTCAATTAAACACTGTCTTTACAAATCTAGGCATACTTTAGCCTGCGTGCAGGTCTAACCATCACGAAGGAGGTTAGAGTTTGCACGCAGGCTAGACGTACTTGAAATAAAATGCGTGTATTAACAGGACCTCCAGCGAACAGAGGCCGGCGGGGCCATGGCAAAACAATAGAGCTTCTTTGCAAGCTCCAAAGATGCCCCCCTCCCACTTTTTTGCAAAACAATAGAGCTTTTTTTTAATTTTTCGTTATGGGTCTTAAATTCTCCCTTGGCCCACCCATTTTCCAACCTGTGTCGGAGACCATGATTAAAAAACAGTTTATTCGTTTCACCTCCATTTGGAAAAGATGCACTCCTCTGCTTGCGTTCGGTTTCTAGCGACTCAAGTCTTCTGACAACATTGGATAGGGCTGTTTTTAGAACCAAAATTTCGTTGTCTTGTCCTTTCAGCCGTTGTTGGAGAATTGCATTGATAGTTGCTTCGTCTAATGAGCTTTTAACCACTGCAAGGAAACATTTCAGTTTTTAATAGATGTTATAAATTATTAAGAGAAGAGATAAAATAAAGGAAGACCACAAAATAATATACGTGCTGCTTTTAAATATTGTGTTGCGATGTTAACTCAAAAAGTAGTCGAGCGTCTAGCAGACCACACTGCACACATCCTTAACATTGTTTTCATGTCACGTTCACTCATACAAAGTGGATTCATCGGCAATAGCCCATCTTCACATCTGCAAAGATATAACACAACAATACAAGGCACTTCACAACACATGTGCACAGTGCCTCAACTTACAACACGAATTCTGGGCAGTACCCTAGTATTCTCTAGTGGTCATCTTGTACTCCTCGCAGGTTCTAGGCTATTATAATCACTCGAAAACACACGGTCTGATTCTCAAGGTTTGTGCTCAGCCTTTCTACCTTGAAAACCTAATGCGTCTAATCGAGATTAAACCATGAAAAGTGCAATGAAGCCTCGTTAAAAAATGAAGTCAACGAATATCATATATGCTGGACAATGGAAGAGTTCTTTTTGTACAAACCAAGGAAGCAGGGATGCAGGAGGAGTGAATTTTTGAGAAGGAGGTGCTAAAGATGACAAATTGGAAACCCCAGAGAAAGCTATAAACCCCTACCCCCAGTCAATGCGCCCTACAAACAAACAACAGACCGATAATACGGTCAAGGCTATATTTTCAGATCGCTCCAGGAAGCATTTTTTGCTAAGTGGAGTAAAACCATAAGTGGTTTTGAAAGGCCCTAGCCAACACTATCCACATACAAACTAAACCGTACATGAATTACTGCTCCGTAATGGGGACTAGCCTGTTGAATCACTATCATTATTATAAAGATATCAGAAGCAAAATATTTTGTAGATTCTGTATTTCCTTGGTTTTAAAGGCAAATTTTACTCACTAAATCAGACAACCACAGTTAGAAGCTATCTTGCAAAAGCTGAGTGGGACATTTGCGGAGCGCCGCCACCCCATGGCTCGCATCGTTTGTTTATCCACTTCAGTTGATGGTATAACAGGAAATGACATCAAACCGTTGTCTTTGCTATCCTGGGCATTTGCTTGGTACATATTGCACTGTTAGCTTCGCAGTTACTTTTGTTTGAAAGTTTTATGATTGAAACAGGTTTCGAGAGAGGGGCCGAGGTAGTAATTGCATATGCCGGACCTAACAAGAACTCAATTTTTTACTTCTCCTTTTGTACGTAATGTCGGATGCATTCACTTTTATCATAAGAAAAATCTCGTGCCCCTGAAAACCCAGCTCCATGAATGGACATACCCAGTGGTGTTGTGCTATCTAAATAACAAGGAGGGCTCTAGCACTACAGGGGGGACATACCTCGAATAATACATTAGCATTCATTAACAAATTGATATCGACGTACCAAGAGCTGCATCCTCCTCTTTTTCTGCAGCTTTTGATGCGTCTTCGATTCTCGATGAAACGTGAGATCCATTGATTATGGCATTAATTTCAGAAAGCCTCGGCGAAGTTGGTCTGATAGGTGGTGAATCGGCGGGCCTCGGCGATAAACCACCAATGTCGATCTTAAGCTCATCTGGAGAGAGGCGTTGAGGAATATTAGGGGAATCCAGACCAGAGCTTGATGTCCTAGAAAGACTAAGTCTCATATTGGCTCTACTCAGTCGAGGACTGCCTTCTCCTTCCATTTTGTCAATGTATATGGAGTTTTCGTTCAGGTCCACAAGCCTTCGTGACTTCTCGCTGCTGCTGCGCGGACTGTCAAAGCGTTTCATATCCTGAGGACAAAAGCATGATGACAAAACTGATGGTATTAGATTTCAACAAAACCTTAAATTAAGCAGGTAATCCGCTGAAAACTCTTCGGCTAATCAGAGCAAAACTCATTTACCTATGTGGTAAGATAAACAAAATATCGCCAGGTTTCCGACCGTGACAAAATTTTCATATGTGTAAGAAATTTTGTGTACAAAAACTTTCATGTGAGAAAATCACATTTCTTAATTTAGGCAATGAAGTTGTTATTCATAAATGGCTTGATTAAATATCCGCAAATCAAATTGTGGTTTCGGTATAAAAACCAACTGAAAGGCAACAAACCTCTCTCAGTGATTGGCTAAAATCAGACCTTGCTTTTGCAATTAAATCTGCCAGTTCACTCGCACCAGAAAGACTAAGCGAATGTTGTGATAATCGTGGACGAGGTGACGTCATGCTGGTCTCAGCCTCTGGCTCCTTCACTCCTTCTTGTTCACAAGCATCTTCTTTCGGTGGCTCACTGCAATGGCATGTACAGTGACAATCAAATTTTTTTTTCACACCTTAACATCTATTTGAGAATATAGACAACTGCAAATTGTAACGGTACGGGGGTAATCAATATAGTCGATCTACGCATGTTCTGGTTCTGCTAGAAAAGGTTTTTTTCCTGAAAACAGTGAAAACTGCACTTTAAATGCAGCATGTGAGCTTTATGTAAAATATTTCTATTCTTTGGTGCTAATAACCTTGATTTTTCCAGCACAATAGGGCTATATTTGGCTAAAAATCAGTCAAAATGTCCTTGTTTAGAATTCACATGTAGCCTCCGGGCTTATTAGAAAGTTCAGATATCAGTTTGATTCTTTTGCATCATTCTTAGGTATTTTCAAGTCCAAAACCTGGCATTTATCCGGCATCTTATACAAATATTTTTTCAAATTCAAGTTTTCCGAAATTTCTGAAATTCTAGGCCGCCAACATCGCATTACCAATACTCAACATTTAAATAAACTACGATGAAACAAAGTGAAGGCCCTTTAAACCGCTGATCGTGGCATCGAGCGCACATAGCCCCCCTGCAATCAAAAAGCCAAATAACTAAATCTTTGACAGCTCTCTTAGACTATACACCTATCTACAAAGAAACAAATAATTTACACCAAAGGTGTTATTTTCTAACATTTATTTCCCGCAATTCGCTACTTTAACGGTGCTTTCATTTTTGACACCTTCTAGACAACAGACCAATTTCCTTTGAAATATAATTTTCCATCTCCATTCACACATGAAAAACATATATATTTTCTTAATGATATCATAATATATTTTTATCTTTCCCATGTTCTTCTAACTGACGCAGTTGAAAGCCGAGAGCCTAGTAACTAGAAATTATACCAAAAGCCGGTGGTATTTTCTTTAAATAAACGATGGCATTTCCTCTCGAAAATCGAAGGTGTTTCTAACGTGACTTGCAAAAGGGATACTTTCTATAGTCTGCAGGTAAATTGGCTGATTATACATAACACAAAAAATGACCAACAAACATGTAAAACTATCTTGCATTTTTAGCTATTCTGAGCAAACCAGATGGCTCCACTGTTTGAGAGATTTCCTGAACCATCGATTTACCTTTAGATACACAAAAAACGCTAGAACAGCTTGGAATCAATAAAGTCTATTAATTTTTTTCAAAAACGTTCTTTTTGTCCTATATAAAACAGTCCCTAGGCAAATAATGGAACGATGAAATTTGTTTTGAAAAGCCAAAATATTGTTGGTCGCATAACAAGATGCATTCGTTAAGGAAATATGAAGTCCAAAATCTCATCAGACAATGATGAATAGTTAAATTAGGCCGATTTCACGAAATCCTATTTAAGGTTGAATTGAAACCAATGATAGAAATGCGAATGGAGATGGCAGTTGCATAGGCCTATTACTTGATTCTTAATTCATTTGCACGGCTTCAGTCTGTAGCTGCCGCACTGTTTAAACCAATGACGTAAAACCTGATCGAAAATATTCAAGGAGTAATGGAAAAATGGCCAAGAAATATCATTTCTAGATTGTTGACATTTATTCTCGCTGAACGAAAAGTGTAAATTTTTTCGCATGATTGTAGCCATGACCTTTTTCAATCGCTACAACCTTCTGTTAGCAGATTGCATTTAAATTTGAAGTAAAAATAGAATGGAACAGGGCCGGATCAAGCCCAAATTGTGCTTGATGCTGCAGCACAAGAGATGCGATGATTGGGCTTTTTCAGCTTCAGACAAAGTTTTTTTCTGTTTCGTCTGGGCATATTCAGCTGCAGTGTTAGTAATCTGCGGGAAGAGGTTTAGGGACGTGAATTGGTTCTACGGGAAAAGTCAGACATTCATGGTCGAAAAAGATCTTGAGTTACAGTGACAACATTTTAAGGGAAATTTAGACCTTAATTGTAAAAGTATGTGTATTATATGCAAATAATAAAGAAATTCCTTTATTGCCCGCAACTCGCGCGCGATAGCGCGCGAGTGAAGGGCTTATAGTCTGCCCCGCGTATAAGTAGCATATGGAAGCTTCAGTTCATGTTGTCAGCACTTTTTCAGCAGATTTTGTCACTTTTCTGCTGCCATGACAACTGTCAATTAATTTCATTGTCAATCAATCGGCTTTGTCGAGGAGGTCGTTAACCGCCACCTCTTTGTGCGGAAGGGAATTATCTTCGGAGCGTTGCTCTGCCAAGACTCTGTTAAAGGCCTTCGGTTTTTTTGGCACAAAAACGGTGCTGCATCACAGCTCGGTTCTCCGCAATGGATGGAAGTTTTGATTCGAAGTTTTGGGAATCAAAACCAGTCGAATGCCACACTTTTCTCCCAAAAACTCGAGACCGTACGAGCAAAAGTTATGATTGTCGTGATTATCGAAAAATAAATGTCAAACCCTCGAAAAACTTCATGATTTCCAAAAGGGCGTTGGACTTAAATCAAAGGCAAACTGAACACCAAAAATTCTTGATAAAAAGAATAGTTTAGCATCAACTAGAGCAGCTGTTTATATAGAATTGTGAAAACCCAAGATGGTGTCTTCTTCGAATATCCTGACCTAAATTTTCAAAACAATCATTATCAAGGAACTAATTGTTTGCGGGCAGTACTAGCAAGAGCTATTTCTAGTATATTCTATTGAATTAAGACCCAATTGTTAAAAGGTGATCGCAGAAACGAATTTGTTTTAGACCGGACCCGGTCCCAGGAGTTCCATGCGAAAATGATAGCTACTAGGTAGAGTGGTTTATTATGTCAGAACCAGTTGACAGTGCAAATATTCACCCACTCCCTTCATCCTACGAATAATGAAAGGACTGAAAAGAAATATAAAAGAAAGAAGTATCAATCGTTTTTCCATGTCGTCTGATTTAGCAAATTCAAATGTAACGTGTCGAATGTATATCTCATTGGTTCCCTATGATGTTACATCCGACCAGCACGCACTCCCCCAGTAAGTCTAACTAGTTTTTTTCTTTACTGAGTGTCCTATAAGCATCTTAGGAAATAAACTCTCAAAGTTATTAGGAGTTGCGTTTATGCTTCTCGAGATAAATTACATTAAAAACAGAAAAATGGGTATTTTCTACCTCGAAAAAATCTTTCGAAAATCTTTCGAAAATTTACTTTATTAAGCAAAATATGCAAAGAAGGAGTTAGTTAAACTGTATTCTGCATAACACATACTGGTCTACAAACAATTTGTAAACAAGTGGTTACTCTCTAAATAACACCAGTTTATCCAGTGAAAGAAAAATGAGAGTGACTTCCTCCTCTGTAAAAAGGGAAAAGGACACATACTGCCATTTACAATCATCTGCAACAATTGAGATTCTTGATTTTAATGTTTTTTCGATTTTTATCGCAACCATATAATACAAAATTACCTTCCAAACTAATCTTTCTTCTCAATTAGCAAAACAATATAGGCACCTGTTACTTTTCAATTGATACGAAAAAGCCAGTATATATTTGACTGTTTTTCATGGCTAAATGGGAATTTTAGACATCGCATTTAAATTTTTTTGGAAAAAGCAGTCAGGTTAATAAATGTTGAACATTAGTCCACAAAACTTTGTTTGTTGACTGTATTCAGGTATGGCGTACAAAGTTGGGAGGGACCAGAAATACATACATACTTAATTTGTTAATTTTTGATATGTGAACTTTTTGTAAAATAATTGCCCAGGAAAGAGGGTGTAATTTGTTCTGCCAGGGCGACGTTGCAAAATCTATGCAAATCTTATCGGAAAATTTCTTCCTTTCTCATGCTACTCGTTTAACAACTTAAATTTCTATCGATTCTTCGAATTATTTTGTTTTTTTGTCACCAAGTGCATAAAGAGCTCGGGTTCTGTATCTTAGATGAGCAACTCGTAACTGTCGATAAAAAAGTTTGACCAAATATATGGCACCTCGTCTGATCTCCATGCTTGATTTTCTAGACATTAAGGCAGCAAATTACAGGGATGACATGCAAATGAACAAAATGGTACAGTCTTCAGTTTCACCTTGAAGTTGAAGACTGTATCATGTCAACATCCTTATTAGAACTTGACTGCAATTAAACAACCTGTTATACCTTAAGATGGTGTACCGTTTACAAGGAATAAAAAACAGTTGAAAATTCTTACGTCATCGTATGGCCAGCAGTGTTTCTTCTCGATCAGGGTCTTCCTCGACGACCAAGCTCTACTCAATTGCAACCAGGTCCTTGAGCAATGGAGATCTGGGTTTTACTCAATGGCAACTGGGTCCTGTTCAACAGCTATTAGGCACTTTCACAACAGCTAACAGCTTTTTCCTCATATAAAAGGTTCTTCATCAACAGCGACCAGTTTTCAACTTCGCAGCTTGTCTGCTAACGACTCAGCTTTCGTTACTGCTAACGACTCAGCTTTCGTTATGTACCCACCGCCTAAATTCTACAAAACAAAACGAATGTTTACATACTAGCACAATTTCATCTTTTACACCTTTATAAGAATCACTTATTTCGTTAAATACAAAAACAAATAGATTCGTCAGAAATTTAAATTAGTGACTAAACAAAGACCTTCTTGTATTGTCACATTTAAGATGAGAAAGCGAAAGGCTATCCGCTTAAAGAATGAACGTATTACCAAAAGTTGGCAGTAGAATCAAACCTTTAGAATTAATTCATCAATGAAATGATATATCGAATTACTGAATCGATTGTCTGTAGTAAAATATTATCAAACGTCTTCAAAGGCAGTAAAGCATTAAACGCCCTTCTAAAATCATATATTATCACTCTATAAGCTTTTATTAATGCCAGATTTCTATCAGAACGTAACCATAGTAGTTTACAGTTTTCAACAAAAATGTTTCGCTGCCTCAAAATATCGAAGGAAGCACATTAAAATTTGATAATATTGTCATTGCTTCAACGACTGTTTTAGTCTGGCAAGGCATTCTGATATGATTTCTTTGTTATCCTTTAATTTTACCTTAGCAAGCCTGAGACCCGGCACATCCCAGCAAAAGCCATAATGCTAAGATATAATTTTGAGTAGGCTGTATAGTGAGTAGACTTTAATACAACCTGTGCAATTCGAAGACAAGTGTTTCAAAGTAAAATAGCAAACGGATGTCAAATTTCTTTGATGGCCTTTGCAGATATGGTACTCGATCCTAATATAGAGTATATTTTCTGCACAAGGTATCGTACACGCTTTAAAATAGAAAACTAACACCACGTGTCTTTTCTGGCATGATTTCTGACGGATTTCTAACGTTTAAAACCTTTTGAGTCATCCGCGATGATAAAGCTCCTCTTATGATAAATCTTTAACCAGCTTAGTTTACAAAAGGTTCAATGGCCTTTGGAGAGGTATCTCCATTTATATATGGAACTGAATGAATATCGATTGTATCTAGGTATACATTGGAGATAATCTGGACATTGCATGTTATTTTGATATCTGAATGCAGCAGGGACTCCGGTAGCCTGACTTACTGTAACATTGGCAAAAATACGTCAAATACGTCATATGCACAAAAATGTTCGTCACAATGTTATGTTAGAAGAAGACCCCTCTGGTGCAGGTGAAACATTGTTACCACCGTTATATGTAAGGAGAATGGCCCGATCCTGGTCATCATTATCCCTCTAATATTATAACCATCAATAAACTTGAGGTGTCAAGATTAAAATTACAAAAAAGGGGAATTATTCGATTTGAACCAGATCTAGACATTCATTTAGCAAGACAGTACAAAATCTTCTCAACTACAACTAACTAATTAAAAGCACAATGTCTAAATATCAGAATAAATATGTACGTTACAAAAACTGTTTGCTAACTGAATATGCCAATGAGTTTCAGATACATATATACACCGAGTCAGTATAAAACCAGCGATAATTTCAAGAGCAATCGACTAGCTACGTCAACTGAAGTAAAAGCAGCATATGTGGGTATTAAAATACTGGGGCATGGGGGTTATCTGGGGCAGAAGATTTTTCAACGCTAAAGCTAGTTGTGCGCAATTGTCTATATGAAATTTTGCAATAAATCGAATTTATTGTACTTTATACTGTAGATATAAAAGGGACAAGCTAATCTTCAATGCTGTAGATAATATCAAAGATGTTTACATAAACAAAATATAATCTATGATTAAGAAATAGAACCAACAGTTAACGACAGGTAGAAAAGAGCTGACGAGCTATACCTTTCACATAATTGGTTAAGGTGAACTAAGTTGCAAAGGTACGTGGATCTAAGTTGAAAGGCCGCGGAGCATATTACAGATTAAGGAGGCTAAAATGTTTTTGAGGGGCTAAACATGCTAAAAACCAAGAGCAGGGCGATTTTTGTATGGTTTTAAGTACATTTTAGTACTCGGTTTCCTTAAGCTTAAAATCAGAATATTTAGGCAAAGCTACATAGAAAGAAACAAATGAGTAACTCATACAGAAAAAGTGGAGTGTGTTTATTCAACTAGTATGTATAGAGCTTGTTATCGAATATCTGAATGAAAAAACTTTTCCTTTCATTCAAAACGTCACAGAAGAGTAGCGCTTTACCACGAATTGGTAGCCACCGCAAAAAAATTTCCACTGTGCAAATGGGAAAGATGTATCAATCGATTTTAATGTGACTGTGAATAAAAATACTATCAAAAAAACTTGTGTTTCGCAAAACTACGGGTTACATCAATTTAATTAAAATCATTAGTAAATTCGTGGACATGTTACCAAAGAATAAAAACCTACATATTGAACAGTATAAAAATTTACAATCAATACAACGAAGTAGTAAAGCATTCTTTAATGCCAGGTTGTAAGCAAGGCCCTCTCTGTACACGACGGTGACAATGTTCCACTTTACAAGCTGCAGTCGTTATCTGGCCATGGATGCTAAAAAATGAAGGTCACAGTTCTAACAAAATCACCTTTTTATTTCAACTAAAAACAAAACTTTTGAAAATAACATAACAATAATCGAAAATAGAATCACAGAAATGCTAGGTTAACCAGTAATGTATGAGTACAAACAAAACTAAATATGAAAAGCAATAAACCAACCTAATGGATCCTTAGAAACGTTTTTGGAACTTCTTTCCTTGTAATATTCCTGAAAAACGAAAAGAGATGAGAAATCTGATTTTTGTTCTGTTGTTGACAACGTGGGAAAAACTGCTTGCATGACAATAACAGATATACAAAAGACTTCGCAAATTAAATAAATATTGTTTAATTAACATTCTTTATTAACATATTTTTTGTTTCAGATTACGATTTCCTCTCCTTTTACAGCATAACCGCCTGTCTTTATTTTTATGGGAATTTGAATTACATATAAAGCCTTGCTTTTTAAGAACAGCAACAATTTTTTTCCAAAAGTTAATTTTAATCAAGCAAATTTTAATCAAAGGTGATTTCAAGACATTTTCTCAGGAAATATAATTTCAATGCTCTAGCGAAAAACACGTTATTTCTTATTTGGTTCCCAACCTTCTGTTTTGATTTTAATTTCAGCAATTTAAACGAACTATTCAATAATATTTCTTGACAGCAAAGAACAAATTATAACTTTTGCCGTAAAGAGGTATTCGAAAACATTTCATACAAATCAGCTGCGCCAAGATTTTACTTGTCATCAAGCAAATGCTGTAAAATAACACTTCAAGGTTTTGCTGTAAATGAAAAAATTCCTTGGAATGCTTCAAAATACAGAATTCATAAAACAGGCCTTAAAAGTGTCTTACGAGAAAAAGCTTTTGGCTTTGGTGTAGCAGGCGAGCAAGGGGTTCCAGGCTCCTCCCTTGCAAGATTATGTTTGTCGTGTTCGAAGGGGAAGGACAAAAACATGTTTAACGCGCTTTTCTTTTGCTCTAGGGTTTTCCTTATCAAAAGTAAATAAAACATATAAGAACTGAAACTTACAAGCTTCCATTTCAAGATGTTTATCCACTCATCAGCATCTCGCGGTGTACTGGCATAAAAGTGAAACGTCCGCCAAGGCAGTTGTAGACTAGAAAATATACGTGCAAAAGTAAAAAAAGGGATTTGCCAAAATTTGCTACAGTTGGCTATTGAGATTAGAATATAAATACGTTGAAGACGGGGTTTCAGAACCAACAAGGATATCACGGAAAAATATTCGCGGTTTCTCTTGAATTCAAAAGTTAGGTAGATTAGAGTAATTGGAAGGGGGCTGAACTTTTTTAAACTTTTTTTAACAGGAGCTTTAGAAAAACCAAAGAGAATTTAACAAAGGAGAATCATACGCAAAAATTTATTAGAGGGAGAAAGCTGAGATACAACTTATTTAAATATGAATTTCTGAACACCGAATGATAATATGGGGATGGAATAAGAGCTGGGGGCTTGGGAACTTGTCTAGGTTAATAGAGGGGTTGCAAGATCATTGCAGATCCAAAGTTATGTCCAAAGACTTCCTTATCCTCCTTGAAAATTGTGACTATATAGATTAAATTATGACTAGATTTCGTTATCATTCATTATCGAATGATTGAAACATAAATTTAATTGTTCACGAGAAAAATGTTGCTAGTTTTTCATACTATTTGGAAATTAAACTTTCTTGACATGATTATCTAAACTCCCCACATTTAGATACTACACTAATAGTTTGTCAGGTTTTTTACAATAAAAATAAAATTAAGATTTCACCTAGACCGTCTTTAAGAGACAGAGAAATACTTTAGTCAAGATTTCTTTAACACGTTAACAACTTACTGAAAGCAATTCCGTTTTCCTGGCATTTCTTCCTCTGAAACTTCAATGCCATTTTCAAGGTTAATTTTTCTAATTGCTGTATCTTTCTGTAAAAGAGTTAATTTTATCAATTCGATGAAACAGTGAATGAATAATGGAAAATTGAAATTTAATGGCAATGTTACATATCAGTTAAGGCAAAGCAAATATGTAGATCCATACAACAACAGCATAAAAATGTAACACACCTCTCTTGATTTGAAATACATCAGTTCATTTTTTCTTAGAACAAACCATCGTTTTTTCCAATTCTGTAGAGAAAAATTTGAGTGTACAACAATAAACCCACGAACTTGAATCTACTTTAAAAGAAACAGCAGGCTTATTTTTTGTCAATTCTGTACGAAATTTTTGGAACTGGTCAGCCTGAATTTGTCCTCAGTTCCTTATCAGTTTTTACGTCAGAGGAAAACCTTATGGAACAAAAAGAAAAATATGAAGGAATTTTTAGAACAGACTGTATGGCATGAAAATTATGCAACAGAGTCATTTTTTTCAAAAAGGAGAAGATAATAGGATATATAGAATTAAGCAATATTATTTCTTTATCTCTTTCATTAAGAACTTGGCATACTGATCTGGAAAAACGAGTTTCTTATACACTATTTTTACAGTCCTTCATTGCCATATATAGCGAGGCCATCAATCAATTGCAGATTCTAGTCATGCTGATGGCCAAGTGAGATTTATGCTAGAATAACAGACTTACCAAAACAATGTTTACTAAAGACAAGGGTTATACCTGACCAATTGGCAAAATACTTATAGAATAGAAGCTAAATGGAAAGTTTTACTAATAACTATGAAAGTTAACATTGGCATACATGAAGTGTAGTACTTTTGACAGTTAATGAGAAAGCATGACATTGTAATATTTTTTAACAGCAATTAAATAGACTTCTCAAGTAACACAATATCGGTGTGCAAGAGCAAAACAAAGGAAAACAAAAATTGAATTGTGGTAGCAATGGATGATAAAATATAATATGAAACAAGTTTAAAATTGTACAAACCTTCCTAATGGCACCAAGCTTTACAAGATATCCCTCTTTTGAAGCAATCTAGGAAAAAAATTGGTCATACTTTTTATATGGAAATATACAGAACAATGTAAAAAACTGGAGCAGGTATACCACTAGAAATTTTTATTTGAAATAATAGTTCAAATCTGAATAAAAAAACTCACATGATAATCAGGTGGCTGATCACTAATACCTTGTTTTGAAAAAGACAAGGATCGTCCTGCTTCAGCATGTCTTGCTATGACCTCATATGAAATTGGCTCCTGTACATTGTTGTAGTATGGAAATTTCAAGGTTATAGTTCCCCCTAAAATAAGCATTAATTAAGTAAGAATATAATAATAAGCTTCACGTCTTTATATATTTATATAATATGCGTTGATAAAGTTAAAATAAACAATTGGTAAAAAGAATCATGAGACTATGTAATACAGTGAGAGGTGATACGAAAAATATGGACAAATAAAAATTCAAAAAATACATACCACTGTCTGTGCCAAGAACTGGCAAAGATGCAAAATGGTCTAATAATTCCTCTACTGAATAAAATGTTCCAATACCAAATTTATACACTTCACCATCAAAGGTTAGTGTAAAATGTTTCACAGATTTGGAGTACCTGCAATGAATTACTTATATTTGATATTGGGAATCCCTTAATACTGGGAAAAGAAACAAACTTATCTAATACTGTAAGCACAGAAAAGAAAAGTAGGATAAACTTAATATCTGAAGAAAGATAAAGGAAAAGTCTTGATTAAATAAATAGATGAAAGTTAAACTTAATTAATGTTAAAAATATATATATATATTGTCAGAAAATCAAGTGACTAATTGGGTATATATCTAAAACAAAGAAACAACCTTTAACATAAATAAAATATCTAATTCCACAATGCCTGACAAAGCTGGTTAAAAAAGAATTCAAATCAAATTATAAAATCAAGCAGAAATGACAGACATTTGCTTAAAACTGTTTCATCTTATTAATTTTTATAATGCAATAGGCCACAAAATAAAACCTGGAAGATAACTTGACACTGGATACCTTACAGAAACGGAATAATTTCCAGGACATGTAGCACTATCTCTCAGGAGATAAGACCCTTCAAAGGCATTTGTCAAAAGAAGTGCTTCTGCTGTATTTCTTGACATTCCTTTGTGAAACCACCTAAAATTACGAAAAATATATACTTCTGGTAAAGAAAATTTTTCAGGATCTTAGAAACAATGATCAGGTGCTAAACATAGCATTGCAAGCTATTTCCCTAAACCTTTGACTGGCATGTAAACACATTATCAAAGTAGCAATTTACTCTTACCTGAAATTAATACAAAAAAAGAAAATGAAGAAACATTGTGTATAAGGTAGCAAAATTTTCTTCTATTGCCACTCTTATTTACTGCTTGCCTGACTAGACCAACTTAAGAACACAAAAATTTTTACCATTGCCAGGGTAGGCACTCGCTTTTGTGCTCAAGGGGGTTCCAAAGTCCCATTTGCATACAAAAGTGGTGAGGCATTCTTTATTTACCAACAAGTTTTGAAATTTACCAACTAAGCACCTTTACATAGCAAAAAACTCCTTGTTTTTGCAAAGGATTTGCTCAAGGGGATGTCACACCCCAAACCACCCCCTATATGGATGGGCCTAACCATTGCAGCCATCAACAAACTACCAAAACTTGCTTTTCATGATGATCTTTCAATGCTAAAATACTTTATCTATCTATCATTCTATCATTGTTTAACAAGTTTAACAAAGTATATTTCCTTACTAAAAAACAAACAAACCACTGTACATAATATTGAAGTGTGGGTTAATAAAAAGAATTATTGGAAAAAATTTATCAATTTTAAAAAAAGCAAAATCATAGCATTGGTTCTCCTAGCTGCCATTCAAGCAACATTGTATGGTCACACCAAAGAATGTCTCAGGCAATCACAGGAGTCAATAATTTTTTCAAGAAGAGGGCAAGACCTAATAGGGAGTGATTTGAAAAATCTTTATTTAGAAAAAATAAAAAACCCTAACAGTGTTAATAAACAAAAAACATTTTTGTAGTAGTGCAAACTATAATGAAAAGATAGTAGACATACCAGAGATCAAAAAGATAATTTGATCCCTTCAGAGAACAAAATAGTTTAGTGAAGAAACTAGAGATTGTACTGATGACTTAATTTAACTGTCAAATCTGCAAAAGGTTTACATTCAAAACTGGTATTGTTTGAATAGATTGATACTGAGCAGGATTGAGTATCGGTATAATGCTCAGAGTGCAAGAAATAATAGATTAATTGATAAAAACTGCTAGAAGATGCCACTGATCAATGATTAGATTGATGAAACACATAGACAAGCTTTTGTAGTGGGTTAAAAAAATGCAAATTCAGAATTTGGAACCCCAAGGAGCATGATGTCAGAGGAAATGAATGGCAAAAGGGAGAAGTAGAATTCATGCTTTTATTGCTGGTTTTTTCACTTTATGTCTGAATCTTACACAAAAACCAAGAGAATTAAGGTATTTTCCAGGAGGCCCAAAAAGAGAGGGACCAGGAGCCCAGGGGAGTCAGGAAGTATGGCAATACAAGCCTTGATGAAGAAGATATAGCAGAAGTGATAACCAGTTGCATGGGTATGCTTTTTCAAACGTGCACAAAATGATGAAATCAAGCAGCATACTTCAGAATGTTTTAATCAAAACCCCTCAAAGTATAAAATGTTGGATGCAGAGAACAATTTTAATGGGCCTCCTTGATGTGGGCAGTCTTCTCTTACTGATGGAGCTGCGATGGCTCCCCTGTGTAATCGGTAAATAAAAGGGGCAGTGCGGGTGAATGACTCAGCCTTGGGTGATGGCTTGAAAGCATGACCCGATAGCTCAGTGGCAGAGCACTTGATGTATAAAGTCAGTGGTTGTGAGTTCGAGCCTTGCTCTGGTCGGTTATTTTCCCGCACTATCTTTTAGAAAAATTTTAATGGAAAATCATATCCAGTTGCCATTTATTGTTGTATCTCCTTGATAATATCTTTGCAGAAGCACCTTCTCTTTAATGTCTTATAAATAGAAGGAACTGCCTACCAAACTATTCTAATTGTGCCATGGAGATCATATCATTTTCTGGTTACATCTGCACCTTCTATTGCTACATTAGTATTTGTATAATATTTTTAATGTATAGAATTGAAGTTATAGGATATTACTGATGTGATATGCATGTTAAATTTGTCATTAATGGTGCAATTAACTTGAACTAAATCAGCAAAAATTGGCGCTAATGCAGTTTCGCACCTCTTGGACATTGATCCTTACCCAAACCCTATCCTTATGCATGGAACCACACGCTGAGAGGTGCGAAACTGCAATAGCCCCCAAAAATTTAAGGGGGGAATCAAGGGACACAGCGGTTTAGGGGTATTAAGCACTATGGAAAATTTATCTCTAGCCCCCACACAATAATTATTTTCTCACTTAAATGCACCTGGGAAACTGGTGGCATAAGACAAGGAAGTAAAGAAAGACACAGAAAAGAATCTGATCGACAGTAGAATCAAGGTGTGGTGATGATTGCATTAATTTAAACAATCTGGTCAAATTTTACAAAAAGCATTTACATCAGGCTTTGTTGCTTTGACAGGGAAATACCTCATTATGTACGAATAATGAGTACATATTTTCTTTTGTGGGTACTAATCCAGTGTCATGCAACAAAAAACAGGATCACGGAAAAAAACCATACTGCCCAAGAAATTATGGCTTGAGTCATAAATTGTGGACATTGTAATTAGGATTTATTGTAAATAAAGCTGACGTCTACTTACGATATTTCCTCTAAACATTGTGGTATGACGACACCCAGATTGCGTTTTGGTCTGCCAACAGAGTTATTCCTTTGAAGGGAATTCGAACTGCATACAGAGCTTTTATCATCAGGAGAGTTTTCACCATCTCTGTAAATGCTATGGCCATCAGCGGATTCTACCTGAACAACGCGAGACCCATCCATTCCTTGTTTTTCCATGTAGTCACTGTGGAAGAATATGCTTTTTATCAGGCCATTTTACTCCTTCCATACACTTTTCCTGTTGTCTCCAATTATAGTTTCAAAAAATTGTTTATCAAATTGTGGTGCAATTTTTCTGGATATATTTCTTTTTAACAATTCACCCTTAATTTATATTTGTCATAAAACCTTGGATTCAATATCTTCTGTACAACTTACAATCTCAATATATTTATAAACAAACAGAAGTTGCCCTCGCAGTGACATAAAACAGCCTCGTTCAAGACTGCCAACGAGCTCCCGAATGTGGGAATCCGGGCCAATTGTACCTCGTACTTTATATGGGCCAATTTACGCGGGGGTAATCTGTAAATACCATAGAGTTAAGAACTCTATGGTAAATACCAGTGGCGTGGTGCCCGGGGGCAGGGGGCAAGTGCCCCTTCAGCGACCAGGAACCAATCAGGGGGCAAGTGCCCCTTCAGCGACCAGGAATCACGCGCGATCAGGTTTTAAACAATAATGCTTCAACTTTACAAATATACTTTGCCTTGTATTTTCAATAGAATTATTCTTCTGTTGGTATTCTTATGCTCATGCTTTAAATAGATGTTAAATGTGTTAGATGTAAATGTTAAATGTAAAACAATATTGTTAAACGTGTTTCTAAATTTTGCAATATCTTTACCGTATTCATGTTGCGGTCTTTTCAAATGCAAAACAGATAAAAACTTTGGTACATAATAATAAAATATACTTCTGGATAGTTTCTTATATCCTCATTGGGCCTAAAGTGACGTATGTTGTAGACATTACGAGTGCAGTTTCTGGTCATCCCTAGAAAGTTATACTTTCAAAATTTTTTCTTGCCGCCAGCAATGGTGGCGGCTCTCAATATAGATTTTTGGCGTAATTATACAGAAAGATTTACGAACATTTCCATGGATCCTCCTTGTTTCTAAATCTATGGCGTAAATATTTTAGATGAGTTTTTAGAGTTTCAAGAACGTCATATTTGTAAAATTTTTCTTTCTGCAAAACATGGTGGCGCCCTTCATTAAACCCGTGTACCATCTAAACATTATGGCATAATGATAAAAGAAAGTTTATGAATACTGCCTAGGATCTTTCTTCAATCTCAATTGATAATGAAATCATTTAAGATACAGTTTCCAGCAGTCCCTATAACTTTTATAATTTTTCTTCCCGCTAACCATGGTGGTGGCCTTCGTGAAATCCCTTAACAATGATAACATTGTGTCCCCCCATTTTTAATCACATTAGTCCGCCCTGACAGAGTTGTACCATGGGCTTAACTTTAGGGAGCGCCAGAAAAGGTTGGTGCCCCCTAGCCAATTTGGAGCCACCATGCCACTGGTAAATACACTCAGATTTAGTAGAAATATGATATGGTGTCCCCAATCAACCAAACCTACCCCGAGGTATCAAAATGTACTGTATAGGTGATCTCTTTACTATTTGCTGTTATCCAATATAATTTCTGTCCTCTTGTGTCCAACCAACATTAAAACAAGATTTTGGCAAGACACATAACATTCATTTAGGTATCAACACAAAGAGGATTAGAGACATAATTTTATGCGTTATTCTCTTTTTAAATTCAACTGTATTGAATGTACATTACACATGTAAAAATGGTATTAGGCTGTTTCGTGTCTTAGGTTCTTCCTGACAATTTGTAGCTCATCATTCGGTCAATATGATGGTATGGATTGGATGTTGGATACACTGCAGGGTGAGCAACATAGATTACGAGCGATAGCGACACAAAATAGGCGCATATAAATGATATTGCTAAATGGCAGGGCTGTCAGAAGTGGGGGACTAAATGGCTGCAACCAAAGCAAAAAGCATTGCCTAAAGGGGCAAAGCAAGAATTTCGAGCCCTCATTTTGACTCCGGGACAGGACAGTAGAAGAAAGAGTCAAACGAGAAAGTTGGGGAGCTAGAACATAACAAGAATGATCTAAGGAGATGACACTCGACGGAAACAGTTTCAGTTGACTCTTGCTATCTCGAACACCTGCTATCTAAAAACAGAGTCCCATTTCTCCTCGTTTTCCAAAAAGGTTTTGTAGGCTTTCGCTCTCTCGAACACAAATACTTTTCCATGAGAGACAAACCCATCTTGAAAAATAATACGCATAGAAGATAGTCCGACAGGTTTGTCCGACAAGATGATAGTTCATTTCTTCAAACTGAAAAAAATATTAGTTGCGATGGACTTGTATTCTTTGGCCACGTCGAAAGTTTACTCGATTGCTATTTGTTACAGCTAAACAGGAACTAAATTTGTCTGCCATGAAAAAAAGAAAACTGTCTTTGCAAATCTGCCACCATGTCTTTGACGTAGATGTCTCAAAATTATGTCGTTTTTCAGTGTATCCATTGCTTTGTTGCTTTGCTTCATCGCCACTCTACCTGAAGAAGAGGCTCGTCAGAAGATAAAACGAGCTTCCAATAAGAGCTGTGTTACTCCAAATTGGCTCCAAACAAAGCATTTGCAAGAACAAACTACTAGATACGATGTTGATGAAAAGTGAAAACTACCAATCTTCACATTTCGCTGAGAGCCATCGAAGAAAAATGTACGGAACTAAATTCTTTGTTGTGTGAAAAATAGAATTTGGAAGAAAAGGATCAATGGGTTTCTTGACAAGGAGAAAATTAGATGAAATAAGAGCAAGAAAACTAAGTTCAAGGAAGAAAAAGGAGAATATCATTCTAGCCATTGGTCGGTTCGTCAGAATACTTATGAGTGCAGAAGCGGGGAAAAAGCAAAATAGAAAACACGGGATCATTATCAATAATGAAACTGACCAAGCAAAAAATTCGAGGGAACAAGAACAACAGGCAAAAATCCTTTTCGACTTTTGAAAAAACCACGGTTTTCTACGTAGCGAAGTATCTTGTGGCATAGAAAAAAATTGGAAATCCTTCAAGGTTCTTAATCATGTTCGTTCCTTGTCATTAATCCATTGCACAATTTTTTAAGGTTTTTTTAAATTTATTCTTTGATTAAAAATTGACTAAGATACAGAAAGAGAAAGGCCTGATGGATTACTGTTGTTTTGGCATGACTGGTAGACTTATATTACCACAATATGACATTTAGATGTGTTTTACAATATCTATGTTTCTGGGTATGCGGTCCAAACTCAAAAAGAGATTCTTGTGACATCATCCCATTGAACTCTGTTTATTAAGCTGGAAAGCGATTATGATTTGCCGCCAAGATTCAGTTTCTGCCAACACGGAAAAACCGACAACACAGAAGGTCCTCGAGGACAAAATAAAATATTTTTTGAGAGTAGCAGGCGAAGGGGAAAAGATGCACACAATCGTTTACTGTTTCAAAAAAGCATACTCTGTAGGTGGGCACGGTAGTTGCGCGCTGCATTAAAAATTTATCCGGATAAAACACTCTAGTGTAAACGGGGTCTTAGAAAACATTGCCATTATGCTGTTAAAGAAGCTCTATTTAGTCCCTCCCATTAAACCCTCCGCTCATTGGGGTGCTTCATGAGGGGTGCAACCATTAGGGGTGCTTCATGAGGCGAGGTATGTTTCTGGTTAAGCGGTCCAAACTCAAAAAGAGGTTCGGAAGGTCATCGAGGAGAAAATAAATATCTTTGAGAGTATCTTATCATATTAACAAGAATGAGCAGGACACTTCCCCAATCCTGCATAGCTTCTCCAGCTTTTTCGCTAGCCACGCCCTTTATTTTCGCACTATGTTATCAATTTTCATCAACATTGCCATTAATTTCTGAATTTTGCAAAAATGTGCAAAATCAGCCTGTTATAACTACAACTACCGCTATCACTGCGCACTTTTACAGTTTATCACTGCACAAAATCGTTTTATCTCTGCACAACTGCACAAAGCGGTTATCACTGCATCTTAAAATTAGGAATGTCCTAAGACCATTGGCACGTCACATCCTCCACTCTGGAATATTCTACCAGAAAATTCGTAGTAACATGTATCTTTTCTTCAAAAAAAGCACTACTTTTAGAGGGGGTACTTTTCTCAGAAAGCCAGGCCACAGTACAATATTTCCAGATGGAACTTTTAAACGGTACCCGTCCTTTGTATCATCCCAAATCATTTTTTGCTAAACCCTTTCGAAAAATGAGACTAGATGAAAAATAGAGACTTTTTTTTCTCCTTAAAAAATTTCAAACTATAACACTACCGTGAATGCTCGGAAACAAATAGTGAAAGGTAGTACGGCCCAAGCGCACATTAAACACCAGCACATAAGTTCGGGCCTAATTTGTCAAAAAGGTGCGTGAGACAACCTTCATTTGCCGCCATGTTTAAATATTCACCAAAAAGCACCCACACATGGCTAAATATCCTCGTTTTTGACATAAAAAGTTGCTCAAAATTGCATTTTACTAGCTCAGCCTCAGCATGTTCTTAATTTGTTCTTAACTTTTGACCAATTTCGAGGCTCGAGTTCTTATAAAACTGTTCTTACAAAAAAAGTGTGTATCACTTCTGAGTCTTTTGGGGGTTTAACAAACTTGATTACTTTATATTTATGTAAGAACTACAATAATAATGGTAAGTTCAAGAAAACGAGCTGGTTCAAATGAAGCTGCATAGAATGGGCTAAAAGCAAAAATTTTATAATACAACTATTTCCGCTAGTTTTCTTCATATAAATTTATAAATCATTTCATTCATACCAAATGCAAGTTAATTTTTCTGGCCTCGATTTCACAAATTCCCAGAAGCAGAAAAACGCTAAAAACACCTTTATTTGCAGCCTCATATTGGAAATTACTTCAAAATTCATTGTAAGGCCTTTTTGCCTCAAACAGAAAAGAGAAGACGCAAATGAGAAACTTCGTTCATACGAATTGAACGCTTTCTGCAAGAACATGCTCAAATTATTTCAAGGCTAACCAAGCGGTAAAGCGCCGGATGCCTTTCGTCACAGATGTATCTAGCCAAATACCAATTGCTACTTGCTATAGGGAAACTAACGTTGGCTCTTATTGACTGTCATTCCTTCCCTGAAACGAGGTAAACCTTCGACAATTGTCCTCCTCGCGTCGAGATGTAACAGTTTCCTTACGACCCCTACTAAATTCTTTGGAATTCAATCGACCTCCGAATTTGAAGTCAAAATTTTGCAACAGAATTTTTGAAGCAATTTTCAAAACGAGGCCATATGTTGAATTTGTAAATTGCGCGTAGGCCACAGACATTGGTCCGCAGGGAACAACTTTGATTTTGTCAAACAATTCAGTTGAAAAACGAATTATATTTCTAGACTCAGAATCCTTAAAACTATGTTTCCTATTTTAACTATCAACAGCTTTAAAAATCTAACATCGCTTTTACGGTAAATATCGTGTTCATTTTATAATTGACTGTGTGACCAAATGATGTTATTGGTTGCTTTTCTGAGAGTTAAACTTTTTGTAGACAACCTTCCTAAGGAAAAAGTAGTTAGAACCTGCTCTTTTTCTGAAAAGCAACTATAAATCCTGACTACTCACAAATCTAGTACACAACACAAATTTTGATACTTTACTGTCCACGCTTTATACCAAGCCAAACGTTTGCAGTACTTCAAAGCTACTTGAATATTATTTGCATTTGGCCCGAGGAGTACAAGTGGCCCATTCAACACATATTGATGAACAATGGCATGTATGTATAAAGATTTTTTCCGAATTAGGCTATGTTCACATTGCTCCGTATTCATTTTTATCCGTTTTCGTATCGATCCGTTTTACCTGTTCACACTGCTCCAGATACATTTGAAAACGGTATGAAAACGATGAAGCGTTCACATTGCTCCGCTCTAGATGAAAAGGAAAACGCCACGAACTGGTTTACAGCACTTGCAACTGCTAATAAACTTTTCAAATAGCTCACTGCCACTAATATTCCTCCGAGTAGTATGCTAACTTTGAGTGAATCAGCCATGTTAAGAAAAGTTGCTCAAATTGGCGCGGTCTAAGTCTCCGTTTTCAAAGTGCGTTTTCAAAAGTCTCCGCTTTCAAGGTGGAGCAGTGTGAGCGCAAGGCACAAACTTTTTTATCCGTTTTCATATTAATACGGAGCAGTGTGAACGGGGTCTTACATTCATTGAGAAAAGTCTCATTTCACACATTAAAATCAGTACTTATCTCGAGCATAAATTATCTTATAAATTTCATATTGCATTAAAATAAAGAAATTTCGAATTTATGAATGTCCGTTTTTTCATGGAAGTTGTTCGCCATTATTTTAACAGCTGCTCTTTATATTATCGACTAATTGATGGTTTAGTGGTCAAAAATAGTTTTAATAAAAAACCGATACAACAATTAATATGTTATGAAAAAAGTCGGCTACTGCTTCTGGAAAATGCATCACAGTACATCGCTTTTATTATGTTGGTGCCCTTTTTTATCTCACGCCTATTAGGCCTATCTGACAGGTCTTCAAAATGAGGTTTCCGGAGCCACATGGAGGCCATACAGAACGACAGGCCTTTGGCACCATCACAACGAGAAGAATCCTTTTAAGACTATTTTTATGTTGCAGAGTTCCATCCTTATCTATGGAAACGTTTTTTCTTAGTTTGATATCAATGAAACTGGTATTAAAATTGGCTGGTTGTGAAACCGAACGTCAGTCTCTCTATATCGTTGTTCGAGTCCATTTCGCCTCGATTTGAAAAAAAGCTGCGAGCTATAAGTTTTTTACCTCCCTAATTTTGTAATGAAAACGAATATTTTGATCGACCTTGAACACATCCAGCTTGGAAAACGATTCTTATGAACGCAGTTCATTTCTGAACAAACTATTTCATCAGATATAAGCACACGATAGAAGATCTTCTAATGTTTGCCACGTTACTTCTCAGATATATTCGTCCCTACGAATCGTGTCAGAGTGTCTTGAAGTTTAATTTTTATAATTCCAAGAGCAAAAGAGCTTTTCTAAACTAGTTCTAAAGTTTTCCTTCGATTGCGCCAACAAAAATCTTTTGCATCCTCGATGTATTACGACAGCTACCATTTTCGCTCTACCTCTACACTTTCGCAAATAAAAAACTAGCCAATTTACGATGTAAGTTTGAAGCACGATTTTTGATGACATAAATAGCATTTTGCAAAATATTTGTACAATTTGTTTGATAGTTTATTATTCCATTTCACAAATAAACTCTAGAACAAAACAAGCAGATTGTTTTGCATGATCATAATGCTCTATCCCAAATTCTCTCCAGACTCATTGCAGCCGACAGATCTTGCCTTAACATTTCCATTTGAGAATCTAATGACTTCAATTGCATTTGAAAAATCTTGAAAGGCTGAAACTCTCTATTTATTTACAACAGGAGTGCCAAAGGCCCTCAGGCCACATCCGGTCTATGGTGAAAATTTCTGTGATCTTCAAAATTGATTGAGCTCACACTGCCTATTTCACGAATATCACTTTAGCTTATATATTTAAGTTATTAATTGTATTTTATTTCAATTTCTATTTATCATGTTTACAGTACAGTCAGCTTTGATTCATTCAACATATGGAGATTATGTTTGGTTGGTGAAACGGGTCATTTTACGTTTTGGACCTTTAGGCTGTTTGGGTTTACAAAGTAATAGCAAAAAAATAACAAAGCCATGCATGGAATTTAACTGTTTAATTGGGACATTTCGGGGCAGGAAAACCCAAAAGAACATAACTACTACTCTCTCAAAATATTGCAAGTGACTTTCCTCTTTAAATTCGCTACGACTATGGTCTGCTGAAGAGTCTAGGAACATGTTTTAGAAACAAGGCATGAACGGGAAATCTTTGTCCCCTAATACTTACGGTACCCAAAATGCGGATTCACAGACAAAAGGAATGCAGAGAGACGTCACACGAAAGAAAAAGGCAAATAATTAGTAACGTGATTATACACTCTACAAAACTACAAAAGCAAAAATAAGTAAGGTATATGAGACATGACGAATCCATGCTTTCTTCTGAGGCACCAAAGCTGTGTGTCTTGCAATACACGCGTCTTTCGTAGCACTGGGAGTCAGTCTGTTCTTAATAAATCCAGCGAACAAAAAGCCGCAAATATGCGTTTAAAGCTTAAAAACAACGAACGTTGATCGTGCTCGCGTCACACGTAACACAACACTTGCAACGAAAAGATTTGGACGCAAGGTTTTTACTTGGAAAGGAAGCGCAGGGACGAGCGTGTTCCAGTCGCGGAATCGCGCCGGCTTTTCTTTTTTCAATAGTTAAAACAATGGAGCTTCAAAACATACCGATTCGTTTAGGGTTGCGGATGAGAATAACTGGGACATAGGGGTAAGAGTGCTTGTTAAATATAGGATTCCTATATCTAAATAGCTTTTCTGTAGAAAATCTAACATGCAATCACCTTTTAAAATTTAATGGACCCAAGAAATTCAGCCACGTCCTTTTAAGCATCACCCGCGTCACTAGCAAGATTGAATGAAAGGCCTGCAATACAGACAGTTAAAGAGTTCAATAACGTGATATTTAAAAAATAATCAGGGGAACTTTCATTAACAATGCAAAGAAACGAGGACATTTATAATGCAATTCCCACAAAGGTGACAAACTGTTTAAATAACCACTGTCACAAAATGACTCAATTCGCTTAAAAGCATTTCCAAGACGCACCATTGTGTCTTTTACAGCAACAACGTGTGTACAGTCAAACTACGCATGGGCCCAAAACGACAAAAAACTAACTTACATATGAAAAAAGGATGACAGTTAAGAAGCAGAAACGGAAACCTTAGAACAAAGATAAGAAAAGAACAAAACATAAACATAAACAAAACAGGAATGGTATCATAACTACAACATAACAAAACTTTTGTTATTACTTAAAAAATTGAGTCTTTGATTACGACAATGGCACACGTATGTGCCAAAACACATACGTGTAAGCTCACAGTGGAACCTGTGCATTTGGGTCGGTCAGCACACTCCAGTCGGTGCCAATGCAGAAGCCGATTCTCTTCCTGTGTTCCAATTGCTTTCTCTCTTCTATATCTGCCCAGCGGACCTACAGGTTTGAATAAAGAAAAAGTTGAAAACTGGAAATTTGGTTAATTTGTCATTTTAAGATACTTTCCGTAATGTTAAAAAGAACAGCTGTCCTCAATTCGCTGCGATTGCCGATGCATGCCGACTATATAGGGTCTGTTCCACCCTGAACATGAATCTGTTCCATCAAATGCCTAGACATAGAGACAAAGCATGTCGAAGATTATGAAGGAATAGAAATGGTCGTAGGAAAATTTTCAGATCTAGCGCTCCACATAAAAATTCAAGACAGAGATGGCATACTATCACAAAACATACCAGCAGGAAAGATCTATGCACCAAATAAAAACAGGCGTATAAAGCAAAGCTTTCTATAAAAGGATGCAAACATACCCTTTTCTTTCCTATCCTCATATCCTCCTCTCTTTCATCATATGGATCATCATCATAGACGTCATAATCATCATCATGATCAAGAACTGATGTCTTCCTTTTGTTTTTGTCATGGCGGATACCGTCAAGTTTTGCTGTAAACCATTAACGGGATAAATATACTTTCATACGCCATTATTAACTGATTTTCAAGGCTTTTAATGTGTGTGAAAAACATACGAAAATATTATTCATACGACTAGTACAAATATTCTGATTGATGTATTTGAGAGTAAAAAAGGTAGCCATGATATATGTCCTTTTGGCAGCTATGAAAAGAAAAAAGACAGCAACACTGCAAAATGCTGGCAAACAAAAGTGATTTATAGGGATGGCAATATTCCCAAGACAATATCTATATAGAGACTTATATGCGGTTACTAAAATTTTTGTAAACCCTTTACAATTGCAGATTTTAGGAAATCAAAGTATAGGAATCTTTGACACTGAATTATCCCACTGAGTTTTTTAATCTTGAGTTATCCCAAATAGTCTGATTGGCATCTTGTATCAAATGTTTATAGTTCTGTGACATTGCTTAGTTGTAGCTAGTTGTTTCACGAATAGATAGAGAGATTCATACATTTCTTTATTCCAGATCTCTATCCCTTTATTAAAACACTTTATCTCAAACTTATAGCCTTTCATAAAGAAAGTGTCAACTTACCTTGAGACTAGAAAAGCTTTTGAGCGAATTCCTACCGAAGTGTGTGAATAAACGCATCCAGTATGGGCAGCGTTTTGGCCATGGTTCTCAGCTCGGGTTTAAGGACGCGCAGAAAACAAACCGACAAATTGAAGGCGCATCGCTGCTTGCAATGGCATTAATGCTATTTTTAGTATCAAGCTGGTTGTTCGAAGTTTTTGAAACGGGGGATACAATACCTTTGAAAGCACTACATAAGCTTGTTCATAGATGATTTACTTTATTTTCAACACATTCAGTTACCGATAATGTATATACAATACATACCCAGCTGTTCATCTTTTGTCTCCTCCCATTTACTCTTCTTAGGAATATGGAAAGTGCCCTATCACAAAAACTCTACTTTAAAAAATGGCAAAATATCAGCAAAAATAATTGAATAAATCCCATGTGCAGTGTGTGAGATATAAGAATTACTCAGCTCCAAGAAATTGGGTTAAAACTCCATGTGGCCGCTAGATGAAAGTTTTTACTAGGTTCAGTCAATCTATATATCCAAACACAAATGATATTCTAACAACAAAATTATTCTATACTGTTGCTTGTTTTCAAGGGGAAGCAGCCCTGGGATCTCGCAGGCCAAAATATTTCTCTATATAAACTAGTTGAGCTACGACGGATTTAGCTCCTTATGTAGCATAAATCAGGAGGTTTTCGTTTATAATCTTGATCTTAATATTAGAACAGTGCTTGTATCTATTACTCACACATCCTTTTTTGTAAGAACCAGTAAATTTAAGTTCAGGGTGACTATTCTAAATTTTTTTGAAACTCTGAGGCTGGATTGTTCTTAATTTGTTCTTAAATTCATAGGGTGAGAGCAGTGCGATTGCTAGCTTTTTCGCTCTAAAGAGGTTTTAGGCCTCATTTGCCAATGAAGTGAGCGAGACAACCTTCATTTGACGGCAAGTTTGAATATTCAACGAAAAAGCAACAACACATGGCTAAAATCCTCGTTTTTGATTTAAAACCTTGTTCAAAAATTCCAATTTACAGTCAGCCTCAGTTTGTCCTAAATTAATTTTTTTGACTTCTGACCAATTGTGAAGAACAGGCTGTGGAGGAGCATCCTTTAGAGTGCAATTATTCTTGGTTATAAATAAAAATAAGGATTCCTACACCTACCCCCTACTCCTGTGTTATAAATACGCTGCGCGAACGCGACCATATCAGCTGCAAGCTGCCAGTATCCTACCTGCTCATCAGTAAATTACCACCAGTCACACTCGACCATAGATGGCTCCATCCCAAGTTAGATGAAGGCTTAGTTCCATCGGGGGGCTAGCTCAGATGGTAGAGCGCTCGCTTAGCATGCGAGAGGTACCGGGATCGATGCCCGGGTCCTCCACTTCTTTGATTTTATTCTTTCAAAATAATAGATTACTTGTATACAGTCAACAGTCATCCTTCAAATAAAAGATTCTCAAGAAGAAGGCAGTTACGCTGGATAGGCTGTTCGGTGGATTCTGCGTATTTTGCAATGAGTTCGGACAAAGATAAATTTAAAAGATAGATCCCTATATGCCGGTGCGAAATATTAGTTTTACATTCGTTTCATTCGTTACATTCGTTAAATTACAACGTATTGGATTCTCATTTTCATTTTGGAAATAAAGAATCCAACGTACATAATGCCCTCCACACAACTTCATTATTGCGTTAACTTTCAAGGCAACGCGAATTTTCAATCTCTCCATGCTTTGCCCTTGCGGGGGGAAGCTATAGACTATTTAAGGCTTTATGAAAGTAACTGAATTATTCGGCATAATTGAGTTAACCCTTTTTGGTTAATGCCAGAAAACAGTTCCTGTCTCGTATTTTCTCCTATGTGAAAACTAATTGCTCCCATCATGTTAAAAGAAAAATTTATCAACCATACCAGGTCTTCCTCGTCGACATCGTCATCGTCATCCTCTTCCTCGTCTTTTTCTTTCTTCGACTCAGCTTCAACAGTAGGTTGTTCAACTTCCTCCATTTCAACCTTTAATTGAATCGCTTGTTTAAAAGCATAGTTTACATAAATATATACATGAGACATAACTAAAAGCAGTACATAAGAGAAGTCAAAACAATACTGACAATCTCTGGTACAAGAAATTATAAAAAATGAAACGGGAATATATAATCAAAAAATTAACTAAACTTTGAGCAAAGCAGGTAAAGTAGGGAATCTGTAAAAGTTTCAATAGCAAGAAACGTGTTTACATAGGCCCATATTTCCAGACGAAAAGTGTAAAAACGGTACCATCAACAAAAAATTTACAAAAACAGAACTTCAAAGAATCACTAGTTCATATTAAGATTAAATTATTATAATCAAATACCTCCTCTATTGCAGCATCTTGCACCAAAGACCTGACATCCAGTCGTTTGAAATGGTTTGGTGTTTGCTCCCAGCTATCACTTATCTACAAAATAAGTGTATATTTTGATTTTGAATGAAACAAATTAGAAAAAAGCTACTGTGATTAATCTTGATAGTTTTTGTCAAGAGACCAGACAGTAAAAAGCGCTGGTAAAAATTTGAATTGAGGTTTTTCCTATATAACAGCTCGCTAATTTTTTTGAAATCCCTACAAAACCCTAAATTCCAACTAGAAATTTTACAATGCATTTTTCTGCAACAGTGGAAGTGGTTCAAGAGGCAATTTAAAATGGTATGGGAGTAAAGAATCGACTTTCAGACAAAACTAAATTAATAAAAAACACACGTGATAATATTAATAACGAATGTGATAATAGTGACTGTGAATTCAAGCAATTATTGCATGCAAAACATACCTAGGTGTTTGATACATCAAAGCAACAAGTCAACAACAAAAGTAACTAGCAAAGAAACAACAGATATAAAAAATTACAAGATACTTTTATCAATATTTATACATTACCTTTTGTATGCTATCTTGGGTCCAATTATGAATATTCTTTTCAGCACAAACCTGTACATCACCGTGCATTTCAGCGATGAAAACCTATTAATATGGCGTAACATAAATCAAAACGTTGTAAGAAAAGCAATAATTTGGCCTGAAAATAAAGTATTAAATCGATCCTCTTACCTAGACTTACTCCATGAGCCTCTGTAGCGTCAGTAAAGTGAGGCAGTAGCGAAACAGAGGCTCATGGAGTAAGTCTACCTCTTACTATAAAACAAATCAATCAAACGAGACTTTATCACCTTCCATTTTATGCATATGCTAGAGTGTCATTGTTTGTTTTCACAAGTCCTGTTTAAGCTTGTTTAAAAAGAAGGCAAATATGCATAAATATACCAACTATAATCAAAATGATATAGAGAAACCTGATTGTATCTAACATGGCGTAGTCAAATTTTATTCGATTGGAATGGCGACTACGAATCTAGATTGTGTTGTCTGAAATGAAACTCGCGTTTTTATCGTGGTCCTCACACAGTAGTTTATATTAAAATAGTTTATCTCAAAAGTTGAGCTTTCCAACTAATTTGTCAAAAAGTAACTTAATAAACAAATGATGCAGATAAAAACCTCAAATCCTTTGTGTTTGCCATCACTCCAGAACTTCTGGAAATGTGCCACCTGAAAATAAAAGATTGCATAAAAATAGGATTGTGAAGCAAAAAACTCTTGGATACTTGCAACTGAAAGTTTATGCAATAGCCTCAGTGCATTATTTAGAGCTTTGCCAACTCAAAGTGTTTAATAAAAATTTACAGACAATTATTGACAGAAGCTATCCTCTACGTTCATTATAAATATTGCTTGTGCTTACCATTACAACAATGTTAATTAAATTCCAGCTAAAAACCACTGAAGTCCTAGTTCCAATTATAGCTGAAAAACCATTGGTTTAAAAACCGTTGAAGCTAAAACCGCTTAAGTTGAAAACCGCTTGTGTTGAAAACCGCTAAAGTAGAAAAAATGCTGAAGTTGAAAACCGCTTAAATTAAAAAACCGTTTAATGTCGATTGAAAAACCGCTTAACCTGAAGAAAACGCTTACGTTGTAACACGGCTGAGTTAAAAAGCGCTGACGCTAAAAACTGCTGATGTTGAAAAACCGTTGAAGTAAAAAAACCGTTAAGGCTGAAAAGAGTGAAAACTGCTCGAGTTGAAATGCGGCTGAAGTTGAAAACTTCTAAACACAAAAATGGCTTGTGTTGCATATTCACTCCGTTGAAAACCGCTAAAGATAAAAACCGCTAAAGTTGCAAAGGATTAAGGTAAATAACCGCTGAAGTTTCAATTGCATGAGTATCAATACCACTGTAGGCGAAATACCGCTGAAGAAAAATATTGCTGGAGTAGAATTATCTGGGAAGAATCGAGGAAACAAACGCTAATATCCAAGTAAAAAAGGAGTAAAATCGGAGTAAAATCGGAGTAAAATCGGAGCGAAATCGCAGAATTTGAGTACAATTGGAGCAAAATCGGATAAAGATCGGATTAAAATCGGAGTAAAATCGGAGCAAAATCGGAGTAAAATTGAAACAAAATCGGAGCAAATCGGGTAAGAATCGGGGGTAAATTGTGGTGAAAATCGGAGTAAAATCGGAATAAATCGCAAATCGCATAAATTGAAAAAAAGAAGTTGTGCCTGGTGAACAACCATTTCATGTAATGAATTACGTATGAGTTGCGTAATGAGTCAAATGTCTTAGAGACAAACGTAAATCGAAGGCAACTTTGATAAAAGCTTATTTAAAAAGGAGCGACCTACAGATGCTAAATGTCGAGAATTTGCTGCAACTAAACTCACCTTATCATTAACAGCATCAATTATTACCATCGGAAAATATCCATTGTCTAACGTTTTGTTAAAACTTTTCAAAAGGCTCACTCTGTAAGCAGCTTCCATTTCCTCCTCGTAAACGTACTCCATTTTCTGGAAGGTGAACACTATTTTTAATTGAGGTAAAACTAACGACCAAATAAACACTAAGAGTCTACGAGACAGGCGGTACGTAAGCCATTGCAAAAAACCTAACACAACATATATATAATTACAGTTTAAAACATGACACATTTAAAACAATCGAGATTTAAGTATTGCTCTCTAATTAGAGAACAAATTATATTAATAAAATATCCCTTTTACTTATGTGCAAAGAAAAGTCCCAATAAAGCAGAAGAAAGACAAGCAAAGCGAATTTTAGATTTCAGATTTAGAGCAAGTCTGACCCGGTGCGGCACAAAATGAACTCACATTTCAAAGACAAAGTAACGAAAGTATTTTGTCTTTTAAATTCAACAGCTTACATCTTTACCTGTCTTAAGAGGTTTTCACACAGGTTTTACCTTGATTCTTATTTCATATATGATTTTTAATCTCCCTGCATTGTTTCATAGTATTCAAGGAGCCTTAATTTCATGACATTAATGACTGCTAAACAATGTCATTGGATACTTCCCACATGAAATGTACAAAGAGACACAAGTCTGGCTACCTAGGACTATTGAGCAAACTAAATCGGCAGATTTTACCTCGTCTTGCCTTTTGTTTGAAATCAGAATTTAATCACATCCAAAAGGAAGACTGGGTCTGCAGACCTTTTGTTTTTAAACGATAAAAATTGGTTATTTTGCGCAGAAGCGGGGGGGGGGGGATAAAAATTCCCAATTTTTTCGAAAGAATTTATCAATGACTGACTTTGGCCCCTTGGCAATAAGCTAATTATACTGGTAGATCTGGTTAAAACCACTTTATTAAGAACATCAATGCTGTTTAGAGGCTATTAACATCTGAGCCCAAAGACAACTGGCTTTTTCATTAAAGCAAATTGTCCTCAAATCACTTCAGCCATATATATCAAAATTAAATTTTTTACTTCATACCTTAACTTTAATCTTTTTCCCCGTGTCAGGGTCTTTCTGATAAACATCAGTTTCCTGAATGAAGTAGTCATCCAGAGCTAATATCCGTGGAGCCGGTGAACCGTATGAAACTTCTTTATCCTGAATTGTAAAAGGAAATTTAAGCTAAAAGGGTTACCAACAGGAGTTTAAAAGACAGTTAGAAGTTGTCTACTGATCACAAAAAGTGTTAAACTTGGAGTAACATGTCATAACTTGAAACATCATATTTGTACAATTAAGTTTCTTCGATCTCAAGATAATGGAATTTTCTGTGAAAGAATGGACAAAAAATAGCAAATTCATTAACAAAAAGTAACATGAGATATCGAAGACTTTTAAACTAAAAAAGAGCACGTGGATAAAGGACAGTTGCTTAGCTCAACAATAAATGCTTCTATGCGATAATAACACAGTACTATGTCCTTCTCGTCCACAGATACTACCCTATATAGACTATAATGAATATGTAACCAGTTTCATGAGATATATACTATAAGAATTTCCAGTTTCTGTGCAGACAATATGATTTATTGAGCAGGCCTTAAAGTCGAAGCAACTATACTCTTACCTTTATGATCTTAGCAATATGTGTCTTCCCGCATCCAGGGAGGCCTCTCAATATAATGACAATCTAAAAATGAAAAAAGGAGATTCTAATAATGTCATATTCGCCATGAATGAAAGCATGGAAATTAGGATATCCCTAACAAGCAGGCTGTGCTACATCATGAAACATCTTTTATTGTTGACAAGCAGTGTAAATATAAGTAATTAAAGTACAAATTGTGTATGAAAAGGTTTTCTTTGTCAACGAGTATAAATTTTTGTCAAAAAGAAGGACACCTCTTGTCTTTAAAAGCTACCATAGTTCCACTGTGTGAGAAAGCATATCCGAAAGACCATTTAGAAGGAAAAAAACTCACATATGATAAAGAGCGTAGACAAAGGAGTGATTAAATGTATCAAGCGCTCCCATGTTAAGGCACAATTTCACTGCCGCATTAAACCGATGTTTCTTATTTAAAATCGCATCAAGAATTGCATTGCATAATGCAGGGTTCAAAAACTACAATAAACTACGTAACGTGCGAGCAATCGTATTCGAGAAGGCATAAAAGATTTCAAAACGCAGTATACCCGTTTAGGTCTTGTTTCTCTGCCTGGCAGATCAAGAAGGTCTTTAACTGCTACAATTTCTGGTGCCGGTTCTGTAGGCTTGATTTCCATTGGCGGCTTGATTTCTTCCATCCTTGAATAGTAAGGGTCTTCAAACATCAACCTCGAATCTCGGCGTTCGCCTGAGCTCCTTACATTATCCCTGTGTAATGGAGTACCGTATCGGTCTCGATCGTAAGAATCACGAGAATAGCTACGATCAAGTGACATCCTATCATGCGAACTACGACGACGGTCATCATGTGGGCTACGGTCTCTTCTTTTAGGGCTCGGTGACCTTCGAGAGCTTGATCTACGAGAGGGACTCTTTGTTCTCGAATGAGGACTTCTTGACCTCCGTCTTGGGCTCCTTGATCTTCTTCCTCGTCCTTGATCTTCTTCCTCGTCTTGGGCTAGAATGACGATTGGGGCTACGAGCTCTTAGCGGGCTTCGTGAACGTCTTGACGGACTAGATCTCTTTCTTTCGGAAGAGCGAGGTCTGTCCCCTCTTTTTGAGCTAGGACTGGAGCTCCTTGGTCTTCCATGTTGGGGGCTGAGTCGACTAGGGCTTAGGCGTCTGGGGCTCAGTCCTCTTGGGCTCAGCCGTCTGGGGCTTAGTCCTCGAAGACTAGATTCCCGTTGGGCCAGTCGCCGAGGACTTAGTTGAGTTGGGGATAATGGTCTGGGGCTCAAGGGTCGTTGGGATGGGCTGACTGGTCGTGCCGCCTCTCCCTTTCTTGAATGATCATAATCAAATACAGCTGGCCTGAAACCTTCTCTCCCCCGTTCCAAATAAGGATCTCTTGGGGGAAGTCGATCACCTGGGTAGTAGCGTTCATCTGGACGGACATCATATGGATCACGTGGTCTTACTGTTTGAGGAAGAGATAGTAGTTGAACATGTATTAAATAAAACTTGGCTCTCATTTAATTCTCATCTTCATTAATCAGTTTCTACCATTAACTGTATCATGCCAACCCCAGAATGAAACTCCATTAAATTTATCCGACAGGAATGCTTAAGCTACCTTGTAAGAATCCACTGATAACGAACATGTTTCTTATTAGAAACACTAAATTACATGCCAAAGTGTTGGGATGCACAACAACGATCTAAGGAAAATCGAATTGTCCTTTGTTTTAAAAGACCTCTCCATCCATTCTTGAATTCATTTTTATTACCTTCACGCGTGCAGTAGAATAAATCTAATTTTAGTGAACCATTCAAATTACTCATTAACTTCTAACGCTGAAACTCTGCCCCCTTTTGAGAAAAAATCGAGCAAAGAAAACTAAACCTGGTGCATTGCTACGTTACAATATTAAGCTCTCATTTACAATGAACAAGTTCCTGGATCGCAACTTAATTTGCACTTGAAGGATCTTAAAGTAACCGAAAACCAAGTAAACATCTTAAGCTGAAACAAATTAAAATGAAAACAACCAAGTCTAAAAAATTTTGTTTTTGCTTTTAAGAGTGATATTTGAAAATAACTGAGAAGTTCATGTTAAAGGCATCATTGAATATAGACTCGAATTCATAAGAACTGCAATAACTACTACTATTTCTATCTCGCGAATCACTAGCATACAAATTAGTGGCTTCACATAGCTGAGGTGCTGCGAAATACACTTTGACGTCAAATTTACATAGCCAATTGAAACTAAAAAAATTACTAAATAGTTCAATTCCATTAGATTAGGTTCTTAAAGGGGTTTGCAAGTTTTGGCAAGAAAGGCCTTCCTATCATGCAAGAAAAAAGCTCAACGGTAAAAATGATATGATTGATAGATGTCACAATACTGACTATAGTACTACGTTATATATTCAAAATGAGAGTACTATAGACTTATGAAATCCTTACCGGGTCGGCCATATGGATAGTAATCCCTTGGTGGATAGTCCCTCTCGTGAAGACGTGGAGGTGGGATAGTGGCACCAAGTAACTCTCTTCGTCTCAATTCGTATTCCCACTCTCGCGTTGGATCGTCAATAGGAAAATGCTGCTTTTCCCAATCACGATAGCGTCTTTCAAATTCAAACTGATCGTGAAAAGATTCCCAACGTGGTGGTGAAACCCCACGAGCATAAACCCTAGGATACCGACTTCGTTCATCTCTCATTCTCGAGTCATCTTGCCTAGGACCATACCTTGATGCTTCCTCTCCTGGTGGGTATCTGTATGGTTCATCTCTCAATGGCAACCTTTCTGGATCATCTTTCAGGGGCGGTCTACAATAATCGTCCTTAAAAGCTGGTCTATCATAATCCTCAAATGTCCTACTGCCTACACCCCCATCGTAATCTTCATACCTTTCATCTAAAGGCCTTTCACGGCCGGCTCTCTGCCAATCCCTTTCCTCATCTTGAGGCCCCATTCTTTCCCTATACTGAGAACGATCACCTTGATATTGATGAAAACTCTGACCACGAGTATCTTCAACATTGGATCCACGATCTTCTTCCCTGTTGTTGGGTTCCAACCGTTCTTCATTTAAAACATCAGACCCTAATTGGCTACCAGGTAACACTTTGTCACCTTCATTATGTACAACACTTTCCCGACTCTGGTCTTTGTCAATCATATTGGCATCATTTGTTCCTTGTTGTCCATCTTTGTTTGACTCAGTGTTACTAAGCTCTGTCCCTGAACCCTTTTGAGGTATTATATCTTCAGGCCTGTCGCTAGATAGTCGATTTGCTGAATATCTTTCGTTAGCCATATTTTTTTCTCTTAGATGAATGTCTTTGTGCGGAACTTGTTTCTCGGGATAGCTTGAGTTACCTTTAAAATCATTCCTTAGACCATAATTACCCCCACGATGGTCCCCTACAGGAGTCTGATTTGATCCTTGGTAATCAGAATGCCCATATCTCATCATTTGCTGATTTTTATTCTCCGTCACAACCATCCCCTCTGCAGCCTCGTGATTTGTCATATTTGGGTCATCGTAATATCCTTCAAAGGAAGTGCTGCCATCTCGCTGAACCTTGTCTCTGTTTCCACTTAATAAATTCTGCACTGGCTGTCTAAACCCACCACTATCTCTTGAGGGTCCAAATGTCTATAATAAAAGCAAACGTTCGATTCACTGTGAATGGTTACCTTTACCCTGTCATTGAAGTATGATGCAAAAAAACTCAACGACTTAGTAACTCGAAATTATAGACTTTATCTAAAATAAAATTAGCTGAAGATGGTACGAGATAGCGAAAATGCTAACTGAGAAACATAACATCAAGAAAGACTTTTTACTAGGTAAAAGGTTAGCGATCGCTGATTTGTAAAAAACAAATCAAACGCAATATTCTTCCTCCAAAAGGAAAGGACTCCAAAAATATAACAGTGTGAAATGTCCTTACTATTTCATGCCACCTTTAAATAAATCTATGTTGTAAATGGAATAAACTGGATTTATTACCATAATTCAAGAAAGGAGGTTTACTGTTTTAAAGATGAGAGCCAAATTCTAGTATTTCGATACAGTAACGACATTCCATCATTCAGTGAAAAACAACAGATATACTCAATTAAATGTAATAAACATACCCTGTTTACGTTTTGGCCCCTCTGTGTAGCTTTCCGCTCTCCTAAAAAAGGAAACCAAAAGTTTCAACACTTAAATTACCAAATAACGACTAAACTGGAAAAATATTTTTGAGTATAAAATACAAAGTGACACAAATTCGTCTCTCTTCAAATTGATAAGGATCTTTTAAGTTCATGTGATTAAAAAGCAGCTTCAAATATAAATATTTCCTGCCTGTAACATCTGCCATCAATATTATCATATATCTTATCAAACAAAGCAATTTTTCCTATGCTGCCAAGTGATGATATGCTACAAAAATGCAGTGGCAGCCATTAGAGGATAGCTGTCATCTTCATTTTAAAACAGAAAATGACATTACTTCTAGTTTCAAAGTAAACATTCTAAAAATGTATTCAAATATGGTGTTGATGTAATAAAATTCTCAAATATTGCTCGTTTCAAATGTTATCGCAGGCTATCTAAGTCAGATCTGCTGCGTGCAAGGAAGTGACTTATTTCTACAGAATACAATGCCATGTCTGGACAATTCAATGATATGTAAATAAAATTTGATGGAGAAGGAATACCTAACAATATACATAAGACTGAATAAGACGCGAATCATTAGAAGCTCTATATGCAAACACAGGTAGCATTAAATTGAGGCTCAGAAATACAACTTACGCATCTTATGCTGGATGTCGTCAATTTCTGCCTTGCTCAGCTGAGGATGATCATAAATACATTCTGATTTTTCACAGCTAAAGAACGAAAGTAAGACCGAATTATTTACATTTGAAAAAAAACCTTGCTTTCCAGCATTGTAAGAGCAAACATTGCATTTGGGATTAATTACACGGCTTTTGATTAATATTTATACAACAAAGGAAAGTTTCAAAAATTTGAAAAATACTATCTCATTTGTTTAATCTGGTTTATGAAGTTTATGAATATCATTATCTAAAATATTCCTTTACTTTGTTACTACTAATGCTTTTCTCCATCTCATAAGCTTGGTTAAGGGCCATCTTGGCCTAGAAACCTTGTAAAAACTGTTCGTTTATTCCATAAATCCAGAAGTCGAAAAAACGACATAAGTTACACTTTCATCAATAAAACGATTTGCATAACATCCAGACAAGGAACAAAGAGCAATACCATCGATCTAAAGTAGGGACAAATTGGGGGAAGCAAGTGTCATCCTATCTGTTTGTTGATGACTGGAATAAACTGGACACAAACATTAAGTTGGCAGGAAATTTTAATATTTTTAAACAAAGGTTTTGGACAATGTGAACTGATTTTATCCACTCTTAATATGATGAACTTTTTAATTGTAATGTTTTGTAGTAAATCGATACAATTAGCTAAATAGAGGACCCTCATTAAAAGCATCCTTGAGTGACTGAGGCCTTCCTCTGTAAATATTTGCATTATTATTATTATTATAAGGTGAGAATTTGTATTGGTATTTTTTTGTATTTGTTTCTACCTAGCATCCAAAGGTAGTTTTTAGGAAACTGAGAAGCTTATGCTTATTGAGCAGTTACACAAACTTCTCCCTTGTTCAGTGTATGAGCAGAAGTCTATAAATATGTCATCAAAAGATCAATGACAGATAAGTACCAAAGTGAAAATGAAAAACCAAAGAAGACTTACTAAAGAGATTCTGGGCATATTTGATGCTTGAATTTGCAAGCTTTCCCAAATTTGCAATTAGGAAAGAATTTGCAAATTACTTTCTTTGTATCAGAGGTATTATTTGCATGCTGATGGACAAGGGATGGAAGTCTATCTTGTACTGATTCATTTTCATTGGCAACATGTGATCCCTGGCTGCCTTGATGTAATCTGTTGCCAAAGCTTGAACCTTGTTGAGGAAATGATTTTCCTTGCTGTGAATCTGGGCCAGGAAATCTTTGAGAGCCTTGTGGACCACTTTGGTGTAAAGTAGCATTGGTTTTCTGGGCAGCAATTTCTTGTTTTGCCTGAATGGAAGCATTAGCATTCCCTTTGTTTACTTCCTCTTTAGGTGGTTCAACTGGAGGTGCACTGTTGATCTTCTGCAATGGTGATGGCTTTGAACCACTGGCAGTTGTTCCTCTCACAGGCCTTTCAACTTGCTGAGGAGTCAAAGCAGGTCTTACCTGACCTCTACCAAATGAAGCTCTTGGTTGCAATGATCGAACCATCCTTTGTCCAGGGCTAAACGTCGAGGATAAACGAGGTGTGAAATTTGGTCTTTGTAAGACACCTCTAGCTGGCAATCTTGGCTGACTTGTGTTATCTCCTCGGGGTGGAGCTGCAAATCTCTGCATATTTGTTGGTAATGGTGTAACACCAGGAGTATTTTGACTCCCAAAGTTTCTTGTTATCATTGACTTTGGGGACAAAGGCGGTTGGTTTGGCAGGATATCTATTTTCAAGTGTAGGAATTATAAGCCATAAATTATTCAGTTAACTTATTCAAATTGAAAAAAATATTTGTCAGAGAATATTAAGGGGCTGTGTCTTATGGTGTATGCAAGGGGAAATGGGGGTCTGGAGGCTGTACTCTAAAAATGGTCCTCAAGATTTATTCAAAATGTGAAGGATTGGTTGGGGGTGGATTTGACAATTCAGTTCCATTCCATTACAGTTACCATTTATGAACAAAATGATACTTGATTCCAATCTATTCAAAAGGGTGTAGCCTTAGTTTATAGGCACAAAAAATGCATGGCTGTGCATACTTTCCCTAGAGCTATACACCAGTGGCAGACACCTGGGGGGAAGGGGGCAGCCCCTCAATATTTTGAAAGACAATGATCTTTTCTTCTAAAATAATGGGAAAACATGACATCATCTTATCAAAACAATAGGCTTGCCCCTTATTATTTGACCAAGTGTCTGCCCCTGCTATCCTACCCCTGTGCTGTTCTACCCCTGTGCTATTTCATTAGCTTCTTGCGCTGTTCTTTGTGCCATTAAACCTACTTTCAACCCTTTCAGTCTCTACCAGGAACCCTTTAATTACTCTGCTCTTCAAGACTGCCTATAAGAGTTGGTTTCTGACAAGGTGCTCCAGAAATAATTTCCAAAAATACACATGCTTAAGGCTTGAAATAGGCATAGCAACAATGTGGATCACAAACTCTTGGACATCATTGTGCTTTTAAATATTGATCATATAAGTTTATAGACTACTGATTATAGATTTTGCATGTTAGTCATTGAATACAAAACATTGTGGAATTAAGACTGCCTTTGGGTAAGTGGCAAGTGTAATGTAAATTCATTATCAGGGAATGTGAATAGAACTATTTTGACGTTTCTAAAATATTTATTAGAAGGAGACTAAAAGTTATTGGGCATGGATTACAGCAAATATAGTATTTGCTTGAGTCAAAGTTTTCTAAAGAATGGATGTGTAATGCCAACAAAGCATTTGTCATACCTTCTGATCCATCTTCCCAATCCTTAAAAGTTGAAATGTCATCACTTGCAAAGTCTTCACCTTTCATGTTGCTATTTGCAATTTGCCCTCTCTTAGGTTCTTCAGATGCCATTTCTCTAGCATTGGCTGATCCAAAAACTTGCATGGCTTCCTTATTATGCCCTTGTATATTGTCTTTATTCTTTTCTGTATCTTCTTCAACCTCATCATCATAATAATCTCTTTTTGGTATTGCTTGTGACATCAATGAGGGTATCTTTGAGGCATCTTTTGTGGCAAAATTTGATTGCTTTTGCAAAGGGGATGGTGCAGCCATACAAACATTTCTATTAGCCTCAGGTTGAATCCTATTACCCCGAAAATTTCCTTGGATAGATTCAGTCATTGATGATGCATAATTTGGTTGCTGAGATCTTGGAGGTCCTCCTTGGATCTTACTTTGAAACCTAGGGCCTTGAAACCTACTCTGCATTGCATTATTAGGTGGTCTTGCTATTGTAGAACCTGGATGCCTTACATAGGATAACTGCTGATTCTGTGTGTGAGACATGTCTTGATTTCCTGTCTGTGATGTCATTGGTTGTCCTGGTTGTCTTTCAAAAGGTGTCTGCGATAAACCTTGTTGTGCTGTTTGGGGTGGGCCTTGTTGTCTTATCTGCTGTGGGGATTGGAATCTTCCCTGATGTTTATCAACATACCCTGACTGTGAAATATTTGTAGGATTTGAATTAGTTGCTTCTTGAAATCTTGGAACATTTCCTCTTTGACGTTGGCTATACTGTACTTGATATGGATAACTTGGCTGACTACCTTGCCTAAACTCTTGCTGTTCTTGAAAACCTTTTTGGTACAAACTTTGTGCCGTATCATCTTGGACCCTCCTATGGAATTCATTGTGTCCTTGCTGATTTACTTCCCCTTGCCCAGCTTGAGAAAAAGAATCATGATTTTGGTGCAAAAATGGCTTTCTATTGGTGTTCTCAGAAATTCCTGCTTGAGTTTGGCTTCTTGTCTCTTGCAAATTTGTCTGTTTTTGATAAAAGGATGCTTCATTTGTACTTCTCTGAAAACCAGGAGAAGTAAAATTTGACATCAATGACCCTCGCTGACTTCCATGGGTGTTGGACACTATGTTACTTGCTGCAGTGAATGGTGCCATGTTATTTGATGTAGTTCCAGTCTGTTGCAAACCAGTAGATTGATTAACCATACCCTGTTGACTGCCAGCATAAGACATTGGTTTGGAAACCTTGCTTCCCATCACAGTGTTTTTGTCTTGTAGCTGTTTTGCCTTAATACGATTTTGCAACTCTATATATTGCTCTTTGAGAGCTAGCTGCTGCTGTTCAATCATTTTTTGATACTTTTGCTGATATTCAATGTATTGTTTTTGGTCTGGATGATTCTCATGCTGTTTTCTCCAAGCAGAAAATTCTTTAAACCACTTCTCGTATTCAGACTGATATTTTTTCATTTGATTTTCTAGTTGTAAAAGCTGCTTATTTAATACTAACAGGTCATCATTGGAATTTGCAAGCTGCTTGGAAACTGCCAATGAACTTATTGCTGATTTATAATTAACACTGGCACCTTCTTCACCTTGCGAAGAACTTGTAATAGCACTTGTGTTTACTTTGACGGGATGATTTATCTGCCTTCCCTTACTAGCTTCATTTTGATATGGCTCCTCTTCAGGTGGTGGTGGTGCTGGGGCATTTGGAACTTCATCTGGTAGTGGTGGCAATGGAGCAACTTCTGTAGGAGGTTTTGACTTAGGCAAGGGTGGTGCTGCGCTTACAGTATTCTGTACAGCTGAATGATTGACCTGTTGCTGCTGCTGAGACATGGGAACCTGCATTCCAAACTGTCCTGTCTGGTATGGAAGAGCATAACCAGGCATTACATACCCTCCTGGCCATCCTTGTGCTTGATAGGGATTGGCAACAGGATACGAAGGCTGGCCTACAGCAGGTTGAAAATTTTGCTGCTGGAATTGAGGAGCGAAAGGCGATAATCCTTGATTTTGTTGAGGGAAGAAAGGGTTCATTTTGGTTTTGAGAAATATAACAACATTCCACTATCTCTTTTTGCTAGTACAATTACGGCTGCGCATTAGAGTCACCTGTTGAAAATACGATTCTTTCCGGCCTAAATTACCAACCTGCCTGCCTTCAAAAACAAGCAAGCGAATTGAATTCAAAATCTAATTTCAGCTTTGATGATAAAGCAAGAGCAACTATCTTTAACTTGCTTGCTCTCTTTGTCAAACCGAATTCACCGCCATAGATTCCTTTACGACCTCGAGACAGTAACAACACAGAATAGAAATGCCATTTCTATTCTGTGGTAACATCCATGCCATCTCGATCAGCCATTGACCCCGGAATTGGGGACTGGAAACGAACCGTGGTGTTGGTGTTGAGCCTCGTGGGGTTAGTCTAATTGTGGCCTCAACGGATGCCTTCAGCTTCTATTCTATGTTTTCCCTTGCTTGAAGTAGCTGAAAATAGAGTAACTCGTGTCGTGCAATTAACAACAATAGAGTTCTAAAGTGTGACGTCATCAAAAACCTATTTTTAGAATTTTTGAATTTTAACCACATAGCGTAAAAGATCACCATGAAAAACTTCCAAATATGCAAAATTGGCCAGATATGTCTAAAATCGGTTGAGGTATGGCTAATGAAAGATTTGAAGTTTGCTAACGAATCACTGTTATTTTGGCTCTGTTCATAAAGTTATGAACAGAATACAGAGGTTTGATGGGGAGAGAACCAGTAAACATGTGGCCATATCTCTGCCATTTCGTAATACACTTGCCTGATTTTGCACATTTAGAGGTATTTCATGATGATCTTTCAGGTTATGGAGTCAAAATTCAAAAATTCTGAAAATAGATTTTTCTGACGTCATCACTTTAGAACTCTATACTCCCCTATTTGTCATAATTTAACCCTATCCAGACTAGGCTTTTTGAAACTTTCGGGAGACTAGGGGGGGGCACAAAGTGCCCCCCCTCCGTAATTTCTTTGTCCCTCTAGCTAGGACAATGAACTTTGTTTTGATGGTACTTCTATCTTTTCTCCACATTTTAGTATTATTGTTCAATTTTTAAGTCACGTGGTTTTACGATGACGTCATCATAATGGTGGCCGGGTGAAGCAAAAATTTAGAAAATTTTAGAAAATCTTAAAATAATCATTAATTCCAAAGCATCGGGCTAAGATATTAAAATAATCAAATTTGATGCATTTTCTAATAGAAACAAGAAGATTGCCACAATTTTAATGTTACTTCTCAAAATTATTAACGTTCCAAACAAAAGAACTCAACATATTTTGTATTTGGCTATAGTATTTTCTATATAACTAAATGATCGATACAACCAAATGTCATGTTTGAGTTCATTTTTAGTGCCTTAGCAGACAAATTATTCTAAACGTGCAGTTTTATTAATGTAATGCCTATAAATCTGTCAACAAATGCGTGCGCATGCGCAGCAGAAAAATCATAGAAAAGGATGTTGATTTTGAATTTTCTGGTCAGAATCATGAAAAGAGCACAAATTTATGCCTAGATACTAATTTTCATCAATATATCTAGTTTTGTTGCGAATCCGTGGCAGATTGAACTATTTTTTACTTGACTAGTTTTGAAAACGCCCCTACACAACCCCCTGATTAATAATAAAAAAATTATCTTTTTATATGAACATGTGTCAGATAGGTTAAAACTAAAAGTCAGGAGGTCTGAGGGGTATTGCTTTGAAACTCCTGAAGTTATGAGAGAAAAACCAACCAGGGGGGCACTTTGTGCCCCCCCCTAGTCTGGATAGGGTTAAGGAGATATTGCAGCGTCAATATTACAACCCTATCTTCTCTACTTAGGCACCGGATATAATTTCCATGTTGATGTAGGACTTTTAAGAAAGGTCTATTTTCTTTTTTTAATTCTTGACACGAGTCTTACTTTCTTTTCCCTTTAAAACAAAGTTTAATATGTAAGCAAATTTGAAAGTAATTATTTCTTTTTTTTCTAGAATACCTGGGATACCTTTACCCTAGGATATCTAAACTTATCAAAAATCGAAATGTGAATATATCATTTATTCGAAGTTCGCCCCCCCCAATAATTGTTAAACTGTACTATTTTTCCGTTACAACAAAGTCCCGAGTTGGAGGCAGTACAATGGGCCCCCCCCCCCATATGAAATTCGTTTCGACGGCACTGAAAAATTGTTATCGTGAGGATAGATCCCAAAACATTTCAATAAAAAGAGGGCCTTGCTTGCCAATTAAATCGGGTTAAAGGCAAATAAACACAAAGTTTTCTTTTCAATAATGCAGCTTAGCAACAGCCACACGAAAGTGACACAAAACCAGATCGTTCAGACACCAGAGAGCAAAAATATCATTCAAAAGCAGTTAATCGACAGAGAAAACCAGAAAAGTCGTAAACGCGAAATTCGATTTTATTAAATAAAAGCTTTATTATTATAACTTTTATAATATAAATATTCAAGTTCTAAGAAAGAACGAAATTCTTCACCAACGGTTGTATTGTAAAGTAATATACAAAATAAAATTCTGGTGAATGAATTGGAACTTAGAAAAATAACTTAACTTTCATTTCACAACAAAATAATTTGTGCTGATCAGAGAAACGTTTTGTTTTGCAACTAACAACATTCAAAATATTCTTAAATATTTTGAAATGAGACATTTTGAGTAATGGCAATTTTCAACAAGGTACCAGATATAAAAAAGGCAACGAATTTAGCCCTTCCTGGTGCACAAATAATATGAACAAACATCGTCTAGATACATAAGTTTTCATCCAACATGAAGGGGACTTTATGGTTATACAAACAAGCTAATGATAGCCCAAACTCGAATGATTTTCACGACATGTTTAAATTTATTAATATACCTTCTGTAGCTATCAAGTGGCGTACTACAAATATTTAAAAGGCGACTAAAAGCAAGGGTCAGTAGTAAGATTTGAATTATTCAATGCTTCCTTAAAAATTGATTAGGGCAATAAATTGTCGTATTATGCAATGCCACTACCTTGTAACAGCCCGCTACAGTGGAACTCTTCTAGATGTATCTTATTGTTTTATTGGCCTGTAGTAATTTCAACATGTCATATTCAGACATGCGACACCTGAAATAATGCAGACGTTCAGGCAAATGTATTTCTCTTTAAAGGATAGTAATCCAAGAAAACGTGCCTAGAGAGATGCCAATCCAATGAAAACGATGTCAATTGACCAACTCTTAAGAGTAAGCAACACTAACAATTAGCTAAATAAATAAATATATTCGTGCTTAAGTTTTCAACCTGATATCTAAGCAACCTATTTTGCACAAAAGCGAAATTCTATCGTTTTTGGATGCCTTTGAGCTAAGTGGTTTTGAGGAGAGTAGAATGGGTACTTTTTTAGGAGAATAAAAAATGTGGGGACCGATAGGAATCCTTGCAATGATATATTTGTATCTCACTAAGAACCCTTTTTATATTTATTCAATGTTTGGACAGAGGCCCTTTCAGGGAGGAGGATTTTCGGACTAGAAATTACTGCAAACGTGTGGACGAGGATTGAATCTGAAATGGGCAACATCATCGTATCTTGTTAGGCTAGCTACACTCTTGCTGTACCTCAAAACATAAATTTTGTTTACAACGTTTGTAAAATGTGCAGTCGATCGTTAATATATATATGTCCTAAGCTGTTACATATAACGTTGCATCAATAGATTCATACAACCAATTAAAATCCAGTGTGAATTAACAACCTCTGATAAATCTAAATTCCCAGTGCACTGTGTTTTGTGTAATAGAATTAGACATGCTAACTCATTTTTCCCAGAAAACGTCTACATACTAAAAACTTGATTTATAAAAAGTCATCTTTGTACCATCACACAAAGAGCAGCTTCCTTGAAATCTGTAGTAAGACGATTTTGGCGATGATTTCTAGTACAGGCCAACGTCTTTCTTCATGTTATCTTTCCGCCACCCAGGGATCCTTTTGAATTCATCACGATCCATTTGAAAAATGCTCTAAAATTATCAAGAAAGCACATTATTCATTTTTTTCAAATCTGCCAACCTTATTAAAAAGACTAAATCAAGAGGCTCGCGATGGCACTGGGCAGTTCGGGTACGTCTGGTCCTCAAACATTGGGTGATAACCAATTACCGCAGGCCAGCAAACGAGATGAAGGGTGCAACTTGTGGTACTGGATACAGAATTGAAAATTCATTAGAAATAAATGCGGCATAATGGCTGCCAAAAATTTGATCATTCAATGCCAATTAGACCAAACTTTGAAGGGGTCCCACATGCACTATCTCTGCAAAAATTTGGAGAAAAAAAATGTGGTCCCTGTTTGAGCCCAAAAAAAGTAGGATGGAATTTGTTTTGATGGTTGAAATTTTTTTTCACACACGATGCTGATTATTGTTCAATGGAATCAGCAAAAAAAATCATGGGGACGCATTGGGAAGTTGGAATTTTAGGGAATTGAAAAAGTGTTGAAACCGGCAAACTACAATTGGCGTGGAATGACCCTCATGGATATAGTGTGTCAGATTTTCGGGACTCACTTTGGAGCTGCTCCTAATTAATGATAGCTATCACAGAAATAAGTTGCTTTCAGCGATACAAATCGCCCTTGTGAAATAGGGCTTAAATGAGCCTTAAAGGACAAGTGACACACTTTTCACCCTATCTTTTATTTTCATTTACTAATAGATCATCATTTAGAAGTAAGTTTTTCCTGGTTTAGAACAAAAAATTCTAATCAGGGGGCGCAGGGGACGCGATTTTCCTTTATATCACGTGACCCTATGACGTACATTGTGATAACTCGGAATTTTCCTGTCATTAATAGAGAGTTTACGAAACACGACGCGACAGGTCCAGACGAACTGAATTCGGTTAGAAGCGTGTTGTAAACGTTAATATTGCACTGTATACCAGTAGCAGCAATAACAAATTATCACAATCTACGTCACGGTATCACGTGATTCATTTCCCGCCATAATTTGAAAAGGGTTTTTAAGTAGGAAAATGAAATCAGAAAGGAAAAATATTTCAACAGCACTCTCATACAGCATTTTACTTTAAGTTAAAAGAAGAAAAAAATTTGGCGCCAAAAGCGTGTCACTTGTCCTTTAAACAATAATTTTTTGGAAACATTAGCAAAAAAGATAAACATCAATAGGGACTTGAATTTAATCTGTTATCTATTGAATGGTTGAACAATGCATTTCTGTCCGAGATCTTAACAGTTACTCATTTCTATAGAAATTTTAGAAGAACAGAAAATTTCGCAAGACAGTGCAAATCAGCAGGGACTGCTTTAATTACGGAGAACACGCTTCACGACCTACCGAGTGCACGGTTAGGAACAAACCTTAGCCTTGCCCGTAAAAACAATAATTAAGGAAAAAAAACTCACATAAAAATCTTCATCAGAGAGGTAAGATTCTAATCTCGATGGATTCACACCCTCTGGCAGCGGTCGTTGAATTAGTTCTTCGATTGAGAAGTATTCTCTGAAAAAAGATTTCAATCAATCAGTTAACTGTCTTCAAAACTAACTTTGAAAAACTAGAAAAGTTTTGTACCAAATAATTTTGTCGAGGCTCGATGTTCTTGTTTTTTCGGATGATTTGAGGCTCGGGTTTTCTACATATTGTTTTTACTTCAGCATTTTTTTCTACATTTAAACACTAAAAAGTTGTTTTAAGACCGGTCAAGAACTGTTTTGCATAAAATTTTAAGCGGATAAAATCTTACCTGTTTTACTAACATAAACGAACATGTTCAAAACACGTTGCCTTTCCTTCGAATTATTCAACTGAAGTTTGTTGTTGTTAACGAAATAATTCTGGAAGGAAGGATGCATTGACATTGCCCAAGTAAAGGAAAATTTTATTCTGTCAGACATCACGATAAAGACGAAGCCCGAAGCGCCAACTTATTCGTATACCCAGCTGATACTGTATTGATTTTTTCTGATTAGGTTTAATTGTTTCGTATCTTTTTTGTCAACTGACGTTTTCTTGTTATCGTAACTTGTGCGAGTTTGAGTCTTTTTAGCATAAGTTAAATAAAGTCCTCTTTTCTCGGAATTAGAATCTTTAGATTTTCAATTTTGAACTTTTTGATAATTCTAACTTGTCGGCGTTGGAGAGGGAGCGTCATATAATTGCTATCTCTCTGTCTCCGACCCCGAATTTGGACCCTGTGACAGGTTCATTTTCTACAGCATGTTCTTATACAGTGTGTTCTTACGGATAGAAGAGAACTCTAATTCATACGACAAGAAGGGAGGAAGATAGTTTAAAAACAAATACTTTGAAAATTAAAGATCTTACCTAGTAAATCCCTCCAGTTTCTTCGAGAGTAATTGCAACTTATCACTGTCTTCTCTACCATCCTATTGAGAAATTGAAAGTTTTTAATAAGGTTTGAAAGTGAGTGGGACAAGAGATTTTGGAAACAATAACTTTTTATTAAAAACAAGTTATCACCAATGTTTTCTTATATGATTTAAAAATGCATAAATTTTAACAATCAATTTTTTTATATTATGACCTATCCTGTCAAGACGTTCTGTATCGAATCTATACTTTGAAGAAGGTATATATTCTCTAACAGATGTCATTAACAAACTTTTCATGCAAATTAATGACTGAGCTTGAGCAATAATGAAAAACCGTTTCAAAATTATCGCACGGATGGACGAGATAACGAAAAAAAATTGTCAAAACCCCTTTTATTGCAAAGTTGACTGCACAACTTGAATAAAAATTGTTATTATTTTACATATTGAGTCCTTGATAGGACAAAATTATTACAACTGTTGACTTTTTCTAAATAATGCTATAAACTCTCTTAATTTAATTGCAAGAAGCGTAAAGAAAAACTGATTAAAATAAGAAGAAACGAGTGGCGTCGCTAGCTCGAAAAAACTAGGGTGGACAAAAACAAATTTTCTCGGCCTCGCCCTTCAGACTCTTGGAAAATCCATTTTCAGTAATTTTATCTATTTTGAAATTTTTGAAAAGCAACTTTCTCAAGCAGCAACTTTCGTGACGGTGGCTTTTTTAACAGTGCGGAAATCGAAATTGATCTGATCAGCCCAACGCCCCCCCCCCCCTCCAAAGTTTTTTCAAAGGATTTCGAGAAATTAAAAAATCGACTTCTGGGAAATCTGGGGTGGACATGTCCATCCCAGTCCACCCTGTGGCGATGCCACTGATAGACACCTCCATCTGTCATTTAAGATCACTTTTAAGTATCATAAATTCTAATATCATGATACATAAACTAACATTCTTTAACAGGATAGTTCACTCTATGTGAATTTAGTATCCCTTGACCTGTCAAACTACTTAAACAAACAAAATTGGTAACGCTTGCTGCTCTGTGTGTGCTACTATGGTGTTTTAACCTATGTTGGTCTAATCTTTTTCTTTTACCAATTCTCAATGCTTACTCTTCTCGTATATCAGTGTCTGTGTGCGTGCAAAAGGCAGTAGCATCACGTTGAGAAGACACCAAAGACATTTTCCAAAACAGTTGTGTCAGACATTAGCATTCTAGAAACTGTAAAAAGGCCGGGGTAAATTATCGAAATGCCTCCTCCCTAGAAGAGGGCCCACCCGAATAAACCCTTCACCCTGAAAATAAAAATTGTCAATAAGCCCTCACTTTCGAAAAAGTTACACCCCCCCCCCTCCCCATATGACAGTCTTGGCCTATTGATAAGCGCCAACGGGGGCCTAATCGAGATACAACAAAAAAATACACCAATTTAGATCATGGTAAATAAACCCGTTCAGCGGAGATCCCCACTCAAAATTAAAAGTCTCAATCAAATCATCCCCAAGCTTAAATCTTTAAAGAGGTTATTCGTAGGATTACTGTAGCTTTTTCTATGATATTGTTAGCATGTTCACGTCACTTGTAATTGATAGCCTAAACTTCCCGCAACTAAACGGCCCCGAATAGAAGCTAGGCCAAAATTTTTAGCCGAGAAGACAAGAAAACACACAGCTGTGTTCAAATTGGATATCGTAAAATATAAGAAAATCGAGAAGAGAATTATATAAGAAAGGATACATGGTCACGACAATGTAAAACGTGCAGCTATGAAAGCAACGAAAAAAGTGGGAAAGAACATCAACGATCAGCCAGATCTGCCTCACAAACTTGGAGAGATGAATGGTGACCCCCCTCCCTCCTCGTTTACCTGGTTAAGATTGTGTATTCGAAGATAAAACATCTTGACTCGTTTGATATACAACTGTTGCTGGCAAGTGCGCAACAGCCCGGAAATGCTAGACTAACTTTTGCCTATTGGAAAAAAAATGAATAATTGTGATACATGCTATACGTGAATGTAATCGGGTGGTATGACTGAGTATGGAAAGCATCATTCGCGATGAAACCAAACCCTTTCAAATGGCATTGGCAATGGATGAGAATGTCTTTAACAACATTGATATCACAAGCATAAACGTATTTGAAATCTTCCTAGATTGATTCTTCATTTCTTTATTTTTTGCATTAGGGTATATAAAACGATTTATACAAATAATTGAGATTTCGTTTTTGCAACCTGCAACAATTACCGCATGTTACTACTAACCACATGAATGCAATCAACTTTATTGGAATAGAATATCATATGACACAAGTTAATTTCACCAGTCTCTACTTTAATCAACAAAGTGGCATTCAGCATCAACAAAACACCGACATTTACAAAATATAAACAACAATTAAGGTCAAAATTTCCCATGTTGATTATAAAATAAATTGCAAATCATAAAGTTTTCTCATTATCATCGTAAATTGCTGTGAAATAAACAGACTTGAAATCTTTTGAAAATTTAACAGAAGATGATGGTTCGTTAAGCGGCGTGGCCCCATAAAATTAAGTGAAAGGGGAAAGAATTGGGGATGGGAGTGGGGAGGGGGAGGGGCAATTATCCGATCATAGTCCTGTCCTGACCATGTCACGGATCTCCTTTTCGAACCAGAAGCAGGGTATCGTTTGGCTTTTTAACAGGCAATGTTGTGGTAGATATATTTGTATTACGTAAAGACGAAAGTTTTCCAAATAGTTTCAAAACCGCGACAACAAAGGAGATGATATATGATAGAATTCATGTGACTGCTGTTAAAAGGGATTTTAGTTAACAACATTTTTGCAATTTTAGCCACAATTTCTCATACATAAGCATACTTGTGGATAGAACATAGATTTTTAAGCTGTCTCAAATCACAACAAGGTACAGATTTCGATAAACTGTTAGCAATTTAGAATATCCCCTCTAATTTCCAGGATCTACATTTCGCTATAGACGTGGCATTTAGATTTGGGCGTATACTATAATTTGAGTCACGCATGTTGAATCCGGCCACATGCCGCTGAACAAGACCTGCCCAAAGTTTACCATGTCCATATTCATTATAGCAATAAGGTTTTGCAGGAGTGCTCAATGTGGTATTAAACATTGTTTGTGCATCCATGAATTCTTGTTTTGACACGAGTTTCGTAAAAGCTGATAAATTTTCGGCTGAAATCTCTGAATAAAGAAGTGAATGAAATCTCCACTGTGTTTACATACATCACTAGAAATTCTAGATAGTAGCACAATGCAAAGCAAAATGGTAGATGATCAGTAACTAACTGGTCCCAATCGAATTCACGTGAGCTATATGCATCGGGGCATGTGCCCGTGCGTCTCAGCAACCATGTTAGCACTAATTCCCACGAAAATAAAACAAGAACGTAACAAAGATTCCTTAAAACTGCACAAAACCTTCCTTTAAACTTTTTCAAGTATATAACTTCAACGAGCAGGCTTCCAACTCCATACATAATAACGATAAACACTCGGTATCTCCCGTGGAGTATTGTTTGACATTCGGAAAGGACTTGAGAATCATGTATCGCCGAACGTCGGAAATATTTTTCATACAAAACGGCATGTATACAGTAAATGAACATTCGCTTGAGAAAATCCATGGCCTTTCGTTGGGTACGACGACCTCTGTAGATCCTCAGGAGTTTATAACCGATCACTTAGTAGGCCTAGCGAACACTTAGCCCACGAAATGATTAAAGTTTCCACCAAAACAGAAGCTGTAGCGAGTCGTTAAGATGAAGCAGGCACGCGGAAACAGTAAACGAGGCACCTTTTTGCGATTATAAGAACTTGTGTATTGCTAAATAGCGAGGCGAACTAGGACATTGCCTAAATCCACAACCTCACTTCTTCGACATGCTCCACAGGCTAACAGCTTGTCTTGACAATTGATCTTATTATTTACAAGGCCCTTTGCTCGTGACAATCATTAAACAATTCACATTGTTTTGAAATCCTTTGATGAAAGCATAGGGAACAGATGAAGCGACTTTGTTTTCACGGAAGTGAGTTGAATAGCAGTCGTCAAAGAAAACCAGGCAGCCGTTACTTTCTTTACACTCTTTTTAAATATGATTAGGTAATAATCAAATAATAATAATAATTAGAAGTAACGATACGTTATGAAATGCATGCGCTTGAGGAAAGGAAAAATGCCAAAGTTAAGTTGTATGATGGCGGTACACAGAAATGGACAAAGACAAACACAAGAAGTACTTGATTATCACAAGGATATCAACAATAACAGAACAAAACAGCTTAGTAACACAACTTATAAGCTGCCAAACTCCAGGTGTAGAGACAAAGTATATTTTGAGAATTTTAGGAATTTTTGCCTGTAATAGAACAGAAGCTTTCAAAATTCCCATGCTTTATACAGAAGGCTAGGTTCGCCATGAATAAATTTATTCCCCACATGCACAAGCAGAAGACTAGGTTCAGGACGTTTTTCAAAGTGTACAGCCTACAGTACAATACCTAGATATCAAATAAAGAAATGGTAATAAAACCATGACAAATGGGCCTAGCTATTTTCTATTATTCACCTCAAGAGATAGTTGCTACTATTCACATCTATTCTGCATCTGCATCTATTCACAATTTTACCTGGGCCAGACCATCGCAATCGCGTCAGTCAACTCGAGACAGCTCTGACCACAGGAAGTGAAGCCGGGAAAAATATCATTTGTACGGCAAGAACGGAGAGGTGCTGTACAAACAATTTTATGAAACGTGCGTACGAATGGTTAGGAGGCACAGTGGCGGATTCAGACCGGGTTCCAAGGGTTCTGGAACCCTGTCAAATTTTCCAAAGACACATAACATCAGTTTTCCCTTTACTTTCGAATTAATCGCAACCAGTCCCAACGTCAAATGGCCTCTTGTACCAAAACCTTTGCTGCTCTCTAAATATGGTATTGTGAAAGAAAGGAACCCTGTCGTAGCCATGGTTATCTTTTGTAACATATTATATTCCTCTAAAGAAAGGAACCCTGTC